TCATCCTATGGATTCTAGGGCAGTGTATTATAATATATGTTAAAGCATATTATACTCCTTTCAAGGACCATTTCTGTGACTGATTCCTCTGCTTGGATACCTGTGTAAATGTGTAACTACAAACCAATGGATTCTAGTCTAAGTGTATTAAGAAGCAAATCCCACTTAATTCACTGGAACTTGCACCCTAGCAACTGTGCTAAGGATTTAAGTGTAAAGTGTTTCTGCAGAAAAGTCCATGTAGAAGCATTTAACACACCTAATAATTCTAATATGAATGGATGACATCAAATGATAGAGTAGATCAATTGAAATCAATTGACGTAAATAACTCAAGTCCATTAAATTAAAAGAATCTACTCTCGGAGTATGACTGTTGGGTATCACCTAATATTTCCAATGATAGTTAGTGACTCAGTGCAACTTGACTCTGACTCGGAATGACTGTCAGTGTTCCTTATTTGCCCCTACCATTTCATTTGCAACTAAGGGTTGAGAATATTCAATCAGTATTGAGTCAGCATGCTAATTACAATATTTCTCTTTATTTGTAATAAAAGCATTGTGAAATCCAAGCAGCACCCATCTAAGCATCCAATTTATTGTAGCCTGAGGCATAGTTCTTTTGCTAGGCTGGTGTAAAAAGTCTACAGAGCCCTAACACTCCTTTTAGCTTCCAGGAAACACTTCTAGAACGAGGAGCTGCTACTACTATCCCGCAGCACGCAAAAGCTATTTATTTCTCTTGCTTTACAGCAATCCTGTTCAGTGGGTGGGCCCCTAGAACTAGTATGGTGACTGACAATAAACAGAAGGCCGATCTCTGGCGCACTTTCATTGCATTGAATAGAATGTTTTGGGTCTTTGTCTTGATTCAAGGAGCTTTCATATTAAGTGAATATTCAGCCCTGGAACTGATCGGCACCCCCAGCAATCGCAAAGATTTGCAAAACACAAAGCTGGAAATGGATGGAAAGGTGGTCGAGTGAAGCACTTATTTCTGAGGCAGAAGCCCGTGCTGATAATGGCAGTAAGGTTGCAATCCTGTGCACACACATTCAAATTTAAGTCCCACTGAACTCAGAAGCACTTAGATTCAGGTACATATGCACTGGATGGAGAAGCACACTTTGTTCACACAGCTGTGCCTATTTCAGCAGTGAGGCCTCAGGATGAACAAGAAAACGGAGCTTGCACATATCTGGGAAATTTTTGAGGGCTTGGGGAGGGATGATTAATATTTAAGTGCTGCAATTTCAGGAGTGTAGTGTAAATTTTAACAACTCAAATTTAAGTTTAAAATAAGAAAACAACACATTGTCTCTGTGTCTCCTCTGCCAATTCTTTGTTCTTTTTCTTTCCCTGTTTTGTTCTGTTCTCAAAATAGTTGCAGCCGAAGGCCAAGAAGCCAAACTAATCTCTGTTTTATGGATGATAAGGTTCAATGGCTACTAGCCATGATGGCTATGTGCTACCTTCCGTGTTGCAGGCAGCAGCATGCCTCTGAATTCCAGTTGCAGGGGAACACAAGTGAGAGAGCGCTATGGGCCTCAAGTCCTGCGTGTGGGTGTTGCACACTGGCATTTGGTCAGCCGCTGTGGGAAGCAGGACCCTGGATAAAATATGTTTCCAGTCCGATTCAGCGGGTCTCTTCTGATGAATTCCACAGTATAGCTGCAGATTAAGACAGGAAGCCATGAACTCAGCAAATGTGATGGCAACAGAAGCAGCAGCATGTGCCTACAAAGGTATTTAGCAGTCGGCGACTTGACGTTTTCTACACGGTCTGTGCATAGGATCCATGCCATAGAACAAACCTTCCATTCTCACCCTGCCAAAGAATAAGCTATTCACAAGCAGGCTTAAGTTGGATGACCAGGGTGAAGGGTTTTTTCGCTGAGGAGGCACATTGATGCAGTGTAGCTGTTCACACGGTAGTCTGGATTGCACAGGTTGATCAGTATGGTGCTAACGGGTGGGTGGCCTTGCCTTTGGTCCCTTCTAGTCTTATGAACTGAAGGACAAAATAATCCACACCAGTCCCATAAAGGATCATAGTACATCACATACACACACCCAATCCCAAGGAAGATTATAAACACCTCAATCCTTTCCCCTCCAGCGTGGATTAACCTACATAATCCTGACCACAGTGTGCCACGAGAACGAGAGCTGAAGCGTCTTGTACTACTGCGCACAGTCTGCCTCCCGCTTTCAAAGAGGGATCTAATTGCTGATTTTAGCAGGCAACATTCGCGTTGGGGAGTGGGCGGGCAGGGGGCAAGCGGTGGCAAATGGCAACTTGAGAGGGTGGCTACCTCTTTTTTTGCTGCGGCATGTGTAGAACTACGTCTTGACAAAGCCAGCCTCCACTGGGGGGGGCAGATAGGTGAAATGGTGAAAATGACAAATGAAGAGCCAAAAGCTGGTTCACTTTTGCCCATCCTCTCCTCCTCCTCCTCCTCTCCTACACACACACACACACACACACCACCACACACACCTACTGCCCGTGGAAGCTATTTGCAAGCAATCCTGGGCATCTGGGGAATGAAGCGCTGAATACCAAAGTGTATGCATGCACACGCACACACATACATATATATATAAACAGTGTGGCTGCAGAGTCAAATATAGCCCTCGGGGAAGGGGAAACAATGGTCGGGCATTGGGTTACATCGCCGCAGGGCCAGCAGGCTGCTTGTTTGTTGTGGGCCTGGGTGGAATGGGAAGAGCGAGAGGGAGGGTGCAGCATGGGGGTGGCAGCGAGAACATTTGTTTCAATTCATAAAGCCTAACTTGGCATTGGCTTCTGCGTATGTGTTTGCTTGAGACTGACCTACAGTGAATGCCAATTTATGAGACACTAATTTGAGTTGGCAGCTCTGTGGGGTTTGTGGTCTCTCTCCAGCTGGTTTCCGCTGTGCCCCCTCCTCCCACTCCTAGCCTCCCTGTGGGGGATTAAGAGTGTGGGCAGGGAGCGTTTCATCAAGTTCCTGAGCAGCAAAGTGTTTCATTTTTCTCTTTGTATTGTGGAATGACACTCAATGGGGGGATGCCATAGTATCATCTTGTTCCCTCCACTCGGCATCTGTGTTGTGCCACTGGTGTCCAGCTGTCTCCAAGGAGCAAGTTGCAGCCAGCCAAAGAAAGGGAAGCAGCACCAGCTGACTTTAGCAGGTAATCTTTGTGTCCGTGTGCACATGATGGCGATGACAATTGGAGGGGGGGGCCTGCCAAGGAAGCATCAAATGGAACTGATGCAAAAACACACCACATGCACCAAGGCACCTTCCTCACCCCCGTTTGTTTCTCACGTTATAGGGTTTTGTTAATTGCAGAATATATTGGTGAACACGTTCTAATGCAAAGACTCCCCCCTGCATTGTGATCGGGCAGCTGATGAGTTCCAGAAGCCTCTGGGGGATTTGTGGCAGTAGGCAAAACAAGATATGAAATATCAGAATATCTGTGTAAGCTCTTCTATGGGTCTCTTCTTAGGAAATGCTCTCCTTAAAAAAAAAACCCAACTACTTGGCTTAGTAATATTTCACAGAGAACACAAGAGTAATGTCAATGTAGCATATTTACATTATGAAAGATTCCCCTCCCCATCTTTTTTTTGTGTGTGTGGTTTTGTTAGTATAGCTTTATCCTAAGCTTTCAGGGCTAGACAATGAGGTGCAAACATTTCCCTACTGCTGTTCTTTTTTCTGTCCTTGAGGCTTAATCTGAGCTAGGGGTCTGTTCTGGAGGTGGTTTTCAATAGCTGGGCTTAGTTCTGCTAAAATAGTGTTCTTCTGCATTTCAGTATCCGATGAATGACTTCTAGCACAATTCAAGCCCTGAAGAGATGCATAATGGAGAAACCACACCTTACCATTCTTTCCCATGCCTGAGAAAAGCCTCTAGCACACTGGAATATCTTAATCAAATTCTCTGAAATGGTAGAAAATTGCCATTGTAGCCAAGGTGAATGCTTTGTTCTGGACAAACTCTGATTCCATAGCTAATAAAGTTTACTGATGCTTTCTGGGTTATTGCACCATTCGGAACGGCATCTCCCCTGACTGAAAGATTTAGGATGTCTCTGCTATGTGAGGTAAGGGGTAACCCAGGAGATCTTTTGATGAGTAGGAAATTGTTCTACTTTCTCTGCCGGCGCTTAGAGCATGAGATTTACAAGCTGTCAGACCAATGGTTCATGTTAGCGCAGCATGCTGTCTACCAACAGTCTTCTTCTTTGGCGGATCACTCGTAGCCGAGTAAGATTGTCTTCCATAAACATGGTCCGTAAGTGACTGTGAAGGCCAATTCTGGATCCACATGTCCTTCCACAATGGGGACATTGGTTTCTGGGCGGGAGTTGATCACGGTGTGGATCTGCCAAGCGTGCCTTCCTCCAGTGTCTCTGAAAAATTTTACACATCACTTGAGAAGACAGGCGAACTAATACCAGTGTACTGGAAGAAGCAAAGATCTACCAACAGTGGCTGGCAGGCAGACACCTCAGTGCGGTTTACAAGTAGGGCATGATGCTGACATCCACCATATACTACTAAACGCCAGCTGCACTTTTGGCTGTCTATGGTACTCATGACCAACGGATCTGTCCTCCTATCCTTCCTCTAATCCTTGTCTAAAAGCCATATATGCTAGTTGGCATCGCAAACATCCTACGGCAATGAATTCTTCAAGCTGATTATGGGTGGACTTGTGTTCCCTTTTATTTGCCACCAAACAAATGCCTGTCAGTTTCAACAACAACAAAAAATAGATTTGTTTATAAATGAGAAAAAACGGCTTGGCTCTCTCCATGCTACCCTGTTGTGAAGCTAGGCAACTTTAAACTGCGGATTTAATAGCGTTATGGATGACAACATGTACGTACATGTGTATTTATTTATAACATTTATACACTACCTTTTCCTTCAAGGTGCTCAAAAGTAGCTTACAAAGTTCTCCCCTCCTCACAACAACCCAGTAAGGTAGACTTAGAGGCAGTGCCTGGCCCAAGGCCCTCAGTGAGCTTCAGGTCTGAGCACTGATTCTGAACTGTCATATTCCAACCCAACTTCCCAATGGCATTTACTCTGAAACCTAGATCCTGCCATTTTTGGGGGGAGGGGAGGAAGAGGGATACCCTCTTGCTCATTCTGCAGGGTTCCTGGGCTGCTGCCTCTGATGGCACCTAGGCTGCCCCCCCTCCCAGCCACGCAAGGCACCGACCCAGCCAAAGCAGTCATTGGCGGTGCTGGTGGGGCGGCCTACCGTCGGGCCACCTAGGCCCAAGCCCGCGGCCAATTCACGCTGAGATGAGAAAGAGGGAAAGGAGCTCCTGGCCCGGGGGGGGGGGGAGGCGCCAATCCCGCTCGTAGTTCATGGAGAGGCGTCTCTCCTCCTCTCCCCCCCCCGCTCCCTCCCCCGAGTCTGGGCTGAAGGAGTCGCAGGTGAGAGGTGAGCGGGGCTGGGCAGGCGGCGGGGCTGGGCGTCCGCCTGCGGTTCGGGGGGCCCTGGGCTTCCTGGCTCCTCGCTCCTTTCGCGGCAGTCGGGCTGCGGGAGGCGGAATGTCCCAGGGAGGGAGCAGGGATGTGTAGCCACACGCAGCCCTGGCAGCCGGCCTGAGCGTGCACGGCGGCGGCGGCGGCTGCAGCAGGCGGAGCAGCAGCAGCAGCAGCGCTTGCAGCGCCAGCAGGAGGAGCGGGGAGGCCAGCAGGCAGCTTGGCCGCCGCGCCTCCCAAACCCCCGGTGCCCGGGCAGCGTAGGGCATGGCAGACCCGCTTGGCCGATCCCCACGCTAGTCTGCGGGCGGGGGGCAGGCAGGCAGGCACGCCCCTAAGGGGAGAAAGGAAAGAGCCGCCGACGCGAGCGCCGAGGTGAGGACGAGGGGAAGTTGCGCGCGTGTGGATAGATGTATGATACGTGTGTGTGTGTGTGTGTGTGTGTGTGTGTGTGGTTGGAGTGGGGTGGCGGCGCCCAAAATGGGAGCGATGTGTGCGGGGGAAAGCTAGAGGAATGGGGAGGGGATCCCAGGGGATGGGGGGGAGCTGCAGAGGGTTGGGGGTGTTTGGTTGTGTGTGTGTTTTTTTGCCGAAATGGCAGGGAAGCTGGATTTGGGAGGGAGGATCCGACAGCACGCGGGCGAGGAGAGCGCCTGCAACAGCGGCCCGACGGGTGTGGGTGGGAGGTGGAGAAGAGAAAATGGAAGAGATGGCAGATGGGAATGCCTCCCTGGTGCTGCCCCCTTCCTCGGTACCCAGATTCCCCCTTCTTTCTTTTTCTTCTCTTTTCTTTTTTGCTCCCGCGGCTGTGATCGGATGGAGGCTGCTTCGGGATCCTCCCTCCGCATGTGCGCCGCTGCGGGCTGGGCTGGGGGGAAAAGCCTCTCCGCGCTGGGAAGGGGCAGCGATCCATGTGGGCGCAGGGAGGGTTTGCCCTACCTCGGGGTGGGGGCGCCCTCGCCGAGAGGATGCCAGGAGGGATGTCTGCCTGCCTGCCTGGCGGTGGTTGTGGTAGCAGCTACGGCGGGAGCACGTGGGGCTGCGGGGGGCTGCGGGGAGGAGTGATCGGGAGTGGTTCCTTCACCTCTCCGAGGCGGGGAGGCGACCCCACTCCGGGCCAGGAATCCATGGTAGGGCAGCGACATGGTAGGGATCCCAACCTGCCCTGTCCGCCAGCAGGGGCCAAAATGCACAGCACTCGGGACATCAGGCCAGCACGTGGGGCGGGAGGCCTTTTTGGAGACACCCCCATAAGCGAGGTTCTTATCCCTCCGCAGCCCCAAGGGGCTGATGCAAAAAACAAAAAAAGTCATGTTTTTGCAGTCGCCCCTCGAAGTATCCACACGTTCTAGAAAGCAGCAACATCTCTATAGTGATGATTGTGAGCCAGTGGACGCTGGTCCATCAGGCTGCTCTCACCTGCCTGCCTTCTCACTTAAATTCATTCATTCCGAGGGCTGGCCCTGGTTGTCAGCTTCCTCCGCCTTAATTTTAGTGCTGCCATTGTAGGACACAGATGGGAGGAGGGGGAGGGGGGATCGGGACAAAACTAGAATGAGTGAGTTGTCTCTCTTTGCCTGTCATTGGCTCTCTCTGTTGCCATTGGCTCTGTTGATCTCAGTGGGCGCCAGCCACTACTGCTCCCTAGCATTCTTCAGTCCCTGATTCATTGAGAGCCATTTCACAGGTTACACAGAGACAGGGCAAAACCTGGGCTTTGCCATCAGATGCACAAGCCACAAGGAGCTGGAGGCAGTCATGGCTGCTTAGCACAACTGCTGTTTTTGACAGAGAGGTTCACCTGTTAACCTTCTTAGGTGTGTTTTTAAAACATCTAAGGTGTACTCTTAGATGTGCACCTAAAAATACATCGTATGGTACTCGGGATGCTCTATGAGCCCCTCACAGCTTTGCTGCTTGACAAAGATTTTCCGTCTGCAGTTGAGCAATGCATTTCCCCCTTTTCTTGTTAAGGGAGAGATGGCTGGCCCCACGTGAAATTAGGGGTACAGGTTTGGGGGCTAACAGTGGGAAGCTCTGGAGGAGGGAGGCAACATCTACATTTGGGGATAATTTATAGCTTCCTCCCCAGTACATTGCCTCCAATAATCCATTTGACCGAGCCTCTGTTGGTTGTTACTGTAGCAATTCTTCAGCATTTTCTGTTGGCTGCCTAAAGCAGAAAAGCAAACATCCTATCTCCAAATATGCCCAATCCGATAAAATCCACAGACCCTTTTGACCTTGCAGCACAGTTTGCCTGCCTATTGACCTGAAGACCAGTAATCGGAGGATTTTGTCTGTGAATTCTTGATTTAGTAACTCTGTTACTCAGTCCACTAATTATCCCCTTCCTATGACTTCCATGCAGTTACATAGTCTAGGATGTCATCTTCCCTAAACCTTATAGACCCATCTGGCGACCTCCACTCCAGTTAACCCAAGGAAGCCTCATCCACTTGCAAACCGATATAGACATTCTGAATCCCATTTGTTGTCCCAGGAACGGTTAACTCATTGCTCCCTGCTATGATCAAATAGCCCTCCACTACTTGAGAGAGAGGGAGTGAATCAATTTGTAATGTTGAGAATCCATGGCAGTTGCTTATGCGACACCAGTCATTTTGTGAAGGATACTTCAGCATGCTTCAAGGTATTGAAATTGTTGCTTGAGGAGTAAATACACAAATCTAGGGGGGGGGGACAATTAGAAAAAAAATGCTTTAGGGTAGCCTTGAACTCCAGGAGGTCATATCTCTGCTTTGGAGATTTTATTGGGAATGGAAAAGAGAAATGACCTTTTCAATGACATGCGGTATTCAGTTGGGGTCCTAACAGCTCAGGAGGAATTGGCTGCCAACTGTTCATCCTTAATCCATAAATTATTTTATAAGATTCACAGGAATCACTTTGCCCTCCTCTGATATGCAGCAGCTGTTCGGCAGCACAAAGTACCACCCCATAACACAATACTTCAGGGTAGGAAATGAAAGAGAATCTTCTGGCCAATTGTAACAACAATTGGCATGGGGGGAAGTAGTAGAGTACAGTTACCCAAAGCAGAATATGACCAGAATTCTATACAGGCTAATAAAAATAACACAGGCTTTTAATAATCAAACATGACTAGAATCTTTATCTGAAAGCTCACCCGAAATATCCTTCTAACATATTCTGTGTCATTGGCAGATGTGGCACAGATGTCATTCTCCCACAATAGAGCTATTAGGTGTCACCTCAGGGTATAAGATCTACGCTACAATCTTACATCAGTTTTATGCCAGTTTGACAAGCTCAGGTTGTCCCAAGAAATCTTAGGAATTGCAGCTTAATGAGAGTAGTGCATATTCTGTTGGAGACTCCTGGCCATTTACTCTCAAAACAGCAGGCCTCAGGGTGCTCAAAGGAGAGGTAATAACTGTTAAACCAATATTTCTCTAGTGTAGATAAGCATATGCTGGAGATAAACCCTCAGTGGGTGTGCCCTGGCATTTGAAGAAGAGTAAATATGTGACAGCTGGATAGACTTTGTCTTCTATCCCAAGGACCTCATTCATTTACTACTGTGTTTCAAATATGTTGTATTTCATTGAGGTCTCTCTTTGACGTAGGAAGGGCTTTTCTGTTTCTCCCTTTTGTGCCTGGCTGGGAGAAGAAGAAAAACATTATTTTCGCTGTCTGTCTGTATTTCTTACTAGATCATTTCTACATTTCTTTTGGTTGGATTTAATGCCTCAAATGTACCGCTAGCCACATATATCTGAACATTGTGAACAAATTCTATGCCCATAAGGTAGATAGGCATGAAACGATCCTATTAAGAATCTGTTTGCTCTGGCCTCCTGATTACTAACTGACTTCTAGCATATGTCTCAGTCAGTTGTTCACACTTCCTTCAATATTGTAATGGCCACAAGCTTTTACACGATAGTAAGTTTGATATTCATCCATTAACAGACGCCAGAGCTTTTCTTTAAAATGCAAAGCATAAGATTCACACATGCTGGCCAAATGGTGCCTGCCTATAACAGTCCTCCTGAGTGCAGCAATACCTTCAAGAGGGTGGGACTGGGCAGTAGCTTTCTCTCAGCAAAATCCACCTCCCAGGATTACTGTGAGGGTACAGTAGAATTGCCCCTGTATGCTGCTTGGAGTTCTTTGGTGGAAGGTGGGAGCCGAAGCTAAGTGACACAGCAAATGCCTTGCATGCAGGAAAAATTAAGGTCCAAAGTTCAACCCCTGACATCTCCAGTTAAAAGGATTGCATATTTATCTTCACCAGGATGGGTAGCAGATGATGAAAAATACCCTATCAGTCCAAATAAATGCTGAGTTATATAGTTATGTAGACCAATCATCTTACACAGCATAATGCAGCTCCAAATGTTCGTAGGGTTGGATGCAAATGTGATAATCCAGTACATAAACCTTATCATCTTAAGAAATGGCAGCAATACTGCTTCAGAGAGATTGATAACGGATGGAAACATCCAAGAGTTGTTCTAGAGGGACATGGGAAGAGCTGTAACTAAAAATCAATTTTTAGCAGTGTTTTAAACATCAGATTGGTGAGCTTCCGATCCTCACCTCTAGACCTCAACCCACGCAAAAGTACTCCCGATTGTATTAACCACCTGCCGAAGACAGAGAAGTTAATTCTCTTTTCTCCCTTCCCCCCTGATTCTTAACAGAATAAGAAGGAGCATCATTACTTAGGCTGTAATCCTATTTTCTTTTCGCTTGGAAGCAGGTCCCATTGAATTCAATGGGACTTACTTCTGGGCTGACATGCAATTTTGTTTTATTTTTGTTCAGCAATTTTCATCCTATTAGCATATGTCATGTTATCAGTGCACAACTCAGCACAGCTAGAGGTTTGCATTGAGAAGAAACGCAACGCCGATATCGTTCCAAAATTATAGCCTGTGCTTTGGGATATCCTTGGGATGCTTTGATGGGAGATCTCAACGTTGTACGGGTTCAGGGGTGTTCTCTCTTTTTGTGGGGGAGGTGATAGGAGTGTGAAGGTAAAAAAAGGGGGTCCTACAAACACAGGTGTTGTGTTTTTTCACTGCATGGGGGCAGACTCAGAAAGTCCACTGCTCTTGTGCTTTCAGCCTCCAAGCCAAGGGAACCATTGACACAGCTGGCATTTGTTTTAAAGAAATAATTGTGTTTGGAATAAGCAATAATAGAGTTTTGGAGCTGCATGATAGCACTGCGGAGGTGCCAACATCCTGGTCTGACTTTGCCTTCATCCCCTTGTAGGTGACTATCTCGGTGGGGCCACGCTGACCATGCTCAGGAGCTTCTGTCTTCAGCTCATGTCCTTGCTTTGGATCCTGGTGGCCCATCACCATTTTACACAAGGTGAGGATGAGTTCAGTGTTCCTTTGGTTCCACCTGGGCATGAAGTCTCCTACAGCAGAAAGGTAAAGGGTTCATTCTGCAGCGGTGTGCAGAAACCACCATTTAACTCCCTGTGAATGATTCCTCTTGTTCAAAGAGGTCCCCCTTTCTTCAGGTGCCAGGGAAAAACACATGAGCATAAGCAGTACTCAAGTGTGTGGGTTTCATCACTTAGTTGTCCTGTAGAGGCTATAGAGGAGGGAACTAAACTAAGGTCCACAAGGTAGGGTGGTTATGAGAACATTCCTATCTACAGGAAAATTGCCTCCTGCTTCCTGCAGGGAGTAACATGCGGCTACTTATTTCAGGAAGGGCTGTAGCTCAGTGGCAGAGCACATCCTTTGTATGCAAAAGGTCCCAGGTCTAATCTTTCATGTCTCCACTCATGGCTGGGAAAGACTCTTGTCTGGAACCCTGGAACAAAGAGAAACTGCCTTCTACTGAGTCAGACTATTGGTCCATGTAGCTTAGCTTTGTCCACACTGTTTGACAGTGGCTCTTTAGGGTGGCAAATCAGGACTTTCCCCCTGGAGATGATGGGAATTAAACCCGGGGCCTTCCTGCATGCAGAGCAGATGCTCTGTCATTGACATGTTGACCCTGCTGAACTCCATGGACCAATGGTCTGACTCAGTAGAAGGCAGTTTAGTTATTACATATAAGGAGAGGAATGGTCTAGCCTTCTTCCCTGGTTGTGAGCAAATTAAAATATTGCTGGTTGACCCATCTTGTGTAGCAGACTGAGTTTCGCATGAGATTAACAGAGCTAGAGGTAAGTTTGTGTCTGTGTGTGCCCTCTCTGCTTCTGTGTGAGTTTGGGTAGACAAATGGTACTGTACTAGTTGGGTCTGATAATATAGTGCAGCATAGGAAACTCCCGTCCCCAACACATAGGTTTTAGCCAGAGTGGTATCTGGGTTGCCAGCAAGATGGACCTTCTTTGATTAAGCGTAGACTAGATAGATTACAGGGACGCGGGTGGCGCTGTGGGTAAAACCTCAGTGCCTAGGACTTGCCGATCGCATGGTCGGCGGTTCGAATCCCCGCGGCGGGGTGCGCTCCCGTCATTCGGTCCCAGCGCCTGCCAACCTAGCAGTTCGAAAACACCTCCGGGTGCAAGTAGATAAATAGGGACCGCTTACTAGCGGGAAGGTAAACGGCGTTCCGTGTGCTGCGCTGGCTCGCCAGAGCAGCGATGTCACGCTGGCCACGTGACCCAGAAGTGTCTCCAGACAGCGCTGGCTCCCGGCCTATAGAGTGAGATGAGCGCACAACCCTAGAGTCTGGCAAGACTGGCCCGTACGGGCAGGGGTACCTTTACCTTTACCTTAGATAGATTACAGTGATGCAGTGGTACCTCAGGTTACAGATGCTACCGGTTCTGTATTTTCGGGTTGTGCACTGCGCTGACCCCGGAAGTACCAGAACGGGTTACTTCCGAGTTTCGGTGCTCATGCATGCGCAGAAGTGCTAAATTGCTCTTTGTGCATGAGCAGAAGCGCCAAATTGCAATCCGCGCATGCGCAGACACAACGTTGCGGGTTGCAAATGCTGCGGGTTGTGAACATGCCTCCTGCACGGATCACGTTCACAACTCGAGGTTCCACTGTACTGGCAATGGGGCATACATTTTTTTTCCTATGATCATAGACTCATAGAATTGTAAAGGACCCCAAGTACAGGAATCTCACTTAAAGCATCCATGAAAGATGGTCATCTAATCTCTCTAAGGAAGGAGATGCTGAATGAAATTGCTAATAATTGTATAAAGTATCCAAAAAGACAATAGGAAAATGCTGTTCCTAGCTCCATGAATTCCCCTGCTCGTGTCCAGATGGTCTGTTGGATAAATCCAAAGCAGCCTCAGCAAGCAACAAATCTGAGTGGAGGAAGGGGCTTGGGGAAGGGGCTGCTTGACCCTTCCTGCTGCAACCATCATTCTGTTCAAAGCTGCCCCCCTCTGTTTTCCACCCAGAGGGGGAGGTGACCTGTGACTACCTCCATGTAGTTAGAAAAGCAGCAGGAGCGTCATTTGCAGTGGGGAAACGGTCAGATAGGAAAGAGTCCAGCAGCTCTTCCTCCGCTCTTTGCTCAGATTAGGGATTTACTGTGGCTGCTTTGCATTGAAAAGACAGAAGGAAAAGCGCAAGGGAGAGTGACATGCAACTAGTACAACACTGAACTGGCCCAAGTGCCAAAGCTTAATACGTTTGTCCCCTGGCATTTGCCCCTGCTGTCCCCGACCCAAGGTGCGATTACTCCCCGCCCCCTTGGTGTTTTTAGGCATGCAGTGACACCTGCTGGACATTCCATGAAAGGCCTTCAAACGTCCTTGGTACAAGCCATGCCCAGGGGCCAAACTAGACAATATTCAATATTCAGTGTATGATCACAATTGTGTATCTGCTTCACATGTTGTAAAACAGAAGCTGTTGCAAAGGCCTGATCTGAATTATGACCATAGCATGGAGGAAATGTGTGTGTGCTTAAAAAACAAAACAAAACTCCCCCCCTCCCCTGTTTTCCTAACAAAAAACACACATGTATACAAGCTGCTATTTGCCCTTCGTGGGAAGATGCTATTTGCACTGATAGTTGCTTTCCTTCCAGGGCAAATAGAAGGTCTGGGAGGCAATTTTAGTTACGAGAATTATACTGGGGGGAAGACTTATTTCCCCTATCCTTCATGCCACAGTCCAGATAGGCATGGACCAATCTGGTCCTCCACAACTGCTGTTTTTATTTTTATTTTTTAAGGAGACCGTACATAACACATTTCATCAGGTATGTAACATATTGTTAAGTTTAGCCCTGGGAATATGGGTGTATCTACACCAGAGACTTGTACTGGGTTAAACTCATTCCTTTTCCATTGGGAGTTCTGGGAATGGTAGTTCTCTGGGAGGGGCCTATGTATAGGGTTGCCATATTTCAAACAGTGAAAATCCGGACAGAAAAGTTGTTGAGCTTTTTCCCCCGTAAAAAAACACACAAAATGCCGTTTTTCAGCTAATTTTATTAAAATGTAGTATAAAACCAATGTAAGTGGATAAGGCTCGCGAGTGCACACGATCGAACAAGATCGTTGGGTCCTGGTCGCTTGCGGCACGGCACATGACAGAAGGAACCAAAAGGAAGGTGAAAGTTAGCAGGCAGAAGCAACAGAGCCTTCAGGTGCCAGAAGGGAGGGATTAGGGAGGGAGGGAGAGAGAGGGATGGCAGGACCAGGGAACAAACAGCTCAGTTACAGCCTTGGAGACATTTAAATAAATAAAGAGAAATCAATCCCTTGGAAAGGGTCTGATGCTCATCTCAAGTGCTGGGCCAGAGAAATGGAAATATTGGGGGCCTACAAGTCAAATTTCCAGAGTGCTCCTCAGCTATAGTTGCTTTGAGTATATCTATTCCTCCCTCTGTGCATTCAAGGTAGCAAGGAGTCTCAGTACAGCAGTGTTAGTCCCCCTTCCTCAGATTATGTTTCCCCCCTTAGGCTGGAAAAACAGGAGGTGTCCTGCACCTTGCTGTGGCTTTCGTTAAATTGATGCTTTAGTCAGTCTTGTGCCATGCATTGCAAGCTTAGACCTGACCTCTCCCACCAGCAACAGCTACTGCATCGGCAGCAGAAATGTAAGCTTGGGGAAAGGAGGGCACCACTAAGGGAGCCTGGTTGCTAAGGGATAAGGCTGCAATCTTAAGCATATTTACCAGAGAGAAGGTTGCATTGAATTCAGGGAGGTCCTATTCCTGCATTGCAGGGGGGTTCCAACTCTGTGATTCTGTGATTCTATGCAGGAGTGAGGAACCGGCGGCCTACCATGTTGGAATCCACCTCCCATTGGCCCCAGTCAGTGCAGGCAGTGGTCAGGGATGATGGGAGCTGTAGACCAAAACATCTGCAGGGCACCAGTTGGGTACTCCTGCTTTAGATGATGATTTGTATTGCTTTGCTCACTTCAAAAGGTGGCAAGCTGGCCCAGTTGAGTTTGGGGGCTCTCCAGCAAATTCTGCTGAGTGTGGCCCTTAACCTGTGCTTCACACTTTGATCTGATGGTACCAGTTAGTGCCAGCCTTCATTCTGCAACTGTACTGTGGTGGTTATAGAAATGGCAATGGGGGGAAATGGACTTTATCTTTAAAGGGCAAAGAAGGAGTAGATAGGTATTGTTTCACAAAAATGTAAGGGGTGGGGAATGAATTAAACGTTTCTAAAACAGCATTGTCATGGTGGAGATGTGCAAGATTGTCTTGCTGACAGCAGCACAATGGGTACTATCCAAAGGGAATTTCCCATAAGTTCCTCTTGATCCGTGCTGTTTTGTTTGCTAGAAGTTAATAGAAGTATTTGTTATGCTTAGCTTCATTCATACTGTCGGTGCTTAATCAGAGCAGCATCTTAAACTGGATTAAAACTTGGAGTGCTTCCATATTAGCTTTCTTTCAACAGAATGAACAGCAATTAATTAGTTAATTAATTTTAATTTAACGACATTTATTTACTGCTTAATGTATTTTTAAATAGCCATTCAAGCTGGTTGCATAAAATAATGGAAAATATACGTAAGAAAATACAATAACACCAGCAGACTTTAAAAAGAAGTAGGCATAATATGAAGATAGAAATGCAGGCAAAACACAATTAACTCACTCAGTTACTCAGTTGCCACTCTTCTCAAACAGTTGTATTTTGCGGCAGCTGTGGGGAAAAAGGCAAATTGCATGCTAGGTATGAGCAATGGAATTGAGAAGAAAACTGCTGATATCACAGTGCTGTTATGCTGTGTAGTTGGAATACTGTGTACAGCTTTGGTTGTTGTACAATATCAAACATCAAAAATGATATTGTCGAGTTGGAAAAGGATCAGAAAAGGGCAAGCAAAATTGTCAAGGGGATGGAGCGACTCCTTGTAAGGAAAGCTTGAACTCACAGCTGTCCATGGAGGCGCACGTCAATTCTGTGTCCAGAGCAACTGTGTACTAGCTCCATCTGGTACGCAGGCTGTGACCCTACCTGCCCGCAGACTGTCTCGACAGAGTGGTGCATGCTCTAGTTATCTCCCGCTTGGACTACTGTAATGCGCTCTACATGGGGCTACCTTTGAAGGTGACTCAGAAACTACAGCTAATCCAGAATGTGACAGCTAGACTGGTGACTGGGAGTGGCCTCCAGGACCATACAACACCGGTCCTAAAGGATATTCATTGGCTCCCAGTGTGTTTCCAAGCACAATTCAACATGTTGGTGCTGACCTTTAAAGCCCTAAATGGCCTCGGCCCAGTATACCTGAAGGAGCATCTCCACCCCCATCGTTCTGCCCGGACACTGAGGTCCAGCACTGAGGACCTTCTGGTGGTTCCCTCACTGCGCGAAGCAAAGCTATAGGGAACCAGGCAGAGGGCCTTCTCGGTAGTGGCTCCTTCCCTGTGGAACACCCTCCCACCAGATGTCAAGGAAATAAACAACTATCTGACTTTTAGAAGACATCTGAAGGCAGTCCCGTTTAGGGAAGTTTTTAATGTTCGAAGTTTTATTCTGTTTTTAGTGTTCTGCTGGGAGCTGCCCAGAGTGGCTGGGGAAACCCAGCCAGATGTGTGGGGTATAAATAATAAAATTATTATTACTGTATTATTACTACTACTACTACTACTACTACGTTGTTGTTGTAGCAGTTGGGCCTTTTCAGTTTAGAGAAAAGGAGAATGAGAGGAGACATGGTAGAAGTTTATAAAAATTAAGCATGGCATAGAGAAAGTGGCTAGAGAAACATTTTTCTCTCTCCCTCATAAGACCAGAACTCGTGAACATCCATTGAAGCTGGTTGTTGGAAGATTCAAGACAGGTAAAAGGAAGTTAAACTATGGAACTCGTTCCCACAAGAGGCAATGATGGCCGCCATCTTGGGTGGCTTTAGAAGAGAATCAGTCAGATTTGTGGAGGATAAAGCTATTGGTGACTACTTGCCGTTTTGGCTATGCTCTGCCTCCATGATTGGAGGCAGTGACGTTTCTGAATATCCGTTGCTGGAAACTGCAGGAGAGAGCACTCTTGAGGTCAGGTCCCCACAGGCCTTTGCTTGGCCACTGTGAAAATAGGAGACTGGGTTAGATGGGCCTGCATTCAGGGCAGGTGTCTTTCTGTGTTTAGGGTGGAGACACGTCAATTTCATCACTGCTTTGTTAAGTTTTAAAATTTAAGATATTGTAGTGCTAGGGGACACAGATCCTCTCCTTAAGTGTTTTTCTGGGGGAAGGACCTTCTCCAGGAAGTGGAAATAGCAGTACAGTCATACCTCGGGCTGAAGTTGCTTCAGGTTGAGCGTTTTCGGGTTGCGCTCTGCAGCGACCTGGAAGTAACGGAATGGTTTACTTCCGGGTCTCGCCGCTCGCGCATGTGCAGATGCTCAAAATGATGTCATGCACAGAAGCGGAGAATCACAACCCGTTCAGACGTGGTTTGCATTCGCTTCAGGATGCGAACGGGGCTCCGGAACAGATCCCATTCGCATCCAGAGGTACCACTGTACTGGTGGTGGCCAATCCAGTCCAGCATCCTGTTCTCGCAGCGGCCGACCAGATGCCTCCGAGAAGCGTACACACTGGTATTCAGGAGCATGAAGAGAGAGCCGGTGTGGTGTAGTGGTTAGAGTGCTGTGCTAGGACCTGGGAGACCAGAGTTCGAATCCCCACTCAGCCGTGAAGTTCACTGGGTGACCTTGGGCCTGTTGCCATATCTCAGCCTAACCTGCCTCACTGGGTTGTAGAACTGTAAAGTTGGTAGGTACCCCCCCCCACCAAAGACTCATCTAAGTCCAACCCCCTGCCATGCAGGAATCTCAGCTAAAGGTCAGGAGGATAAAATAGGGAGGAGAACCATGTACACCATCTTGGAGGAAAAGGCGGTAAATAAATGGAATAAGTAAATAAATAAAGTAATCATGCAAATAACATGTTTATTTTTTAGCAGTGGCATTTGCAAGGTGGATGCAATTAAGTACAGCTGCCACAGGACAACTACTGTAGCATGAGCCCCTCCTCCCCAAAAAGAGATGTCATTTGAAACTAAGAAGCTAGCTGCCCCTGAGGCAGGCCACTGGTCCATCTCCCCAGTATTGATTTCTTTTCTGGACCAGGAATGACGCTACAGGATTCTGGCCACATATCTCCTCCTACATGGTCCATTTAGCTTGTGATGCATCGAAAGCAGGTGCTCTTAACACCTGAGCTATGGTCCACTATCCATCCTGGGGGGAAAGAACACTGTGTTGCTCATTTGGAAAGTTTATTGTTGCTTCTGTTTCATTTATTATCGTTTGCATCCTCTTGTCTGATGACCTATATCTGTGTTGCGATTTTCTCCGGAAGGGCAGTTCTGTTCTGTATATTGCAACGTTGAGCTTGATCTCAGTCTGTCAATTGCATATTTAAACATTTCCATAAAATATATATTTAAGGGGGAGGGGGACAACAGGCAGCATATGTTCCCAGCTACAAAATATGAAGCCTCCCACAGCTAAGAAAAAGCAGCACCTTGACACTCTGAAGCTTAAGGGAAGACAGCATGAATGGCATGCAATAAATGGGTAGAAACGTTTCCATTTATTGCACTAGAAACTGGTCTTGTGATAGATGGCAGGGAGAGGTCAGACGCAACGGGGATAAGTATATGCTGGAAAGGAAAATGGATTCTACACACTTCTGTCCCAACCCTGCAAATTTGTGATGGGTTCACCAGCCTTTTCCTGCTGTCACAAGTTAGCCGTAGCTTGCAGTTCTGACTTCCTGGTGCATAAGTCCTGTTCTCTGTTTTGCCTTGCAGGTGATGACTGCAGTGACCACTGTAACTTGGCTCATGGAAGCTGTGACGAGGACGGCAAATGCAGGTAAAACTATACTTGGGTGCTGTTAAAGGAAAGGGCTGCTCAAACACGGCGTCACTCCAAACCCTGCACATTTTGTGCCAACCACCCCAAGAAGTAGTGTCCTGTAAGCTCCTACTCTCAGAGTTGGCCCAATACATTTTGCTGCCTGGTGCGGCAAAGGGCGAGGTGGCGTCCCCTCCCATTCAGTGTTTAGAAGCTGACTGCACTAGCCATTGATTTTTATTTCAACACTGGTGTGAGGACAGCAGGCTGGCCTAGAGGGTGCAAAGTAGGCTGTGTGGCACTCACAAATGTTTTCTGCAACCCAGGGCCAGCCCACCTGTGAAGCAAGGGGAGGTGACTGCCTCAGGCAGCAGGATCCGTAGGAACAGCAGATGCAGCCTCTAAGGAATGCGTTGCCCGCTTATGCGGCCACTGCTGCAACAGCTGTGGCATGTTTCTTGGAGGTCGAATCTGCTGCCTCCTCAGCAGCACCCCCACCCATACAGTGGCCTCTTGTGAATATGAGGTACTGCTGGTCTCCCCGTACCTTTGGGGAGGAAATGGTGGGGGCTGCCCTCTGGGGTCATCTGGGTTCTGCACCCGCTGGGTGTTTCAAAGCAGGCTGCCCCCTCCCCCCACCATGGCCTCTGATTCCCACTTGAACCATCAGGTAAGGTTTATTTTATTTTAAAATAAATTTTATTTTTCAGGTTTACAGAGATACAAATCCAATTTCCCCCCAATAAGCATTTATAGTTTGACTTCCTCCCCCATCCCTTTTGCAGTTTCTTATATTTTATAAAAATTAATACCTTCATTTCCCTCATTATTCCAATTAAGGTAAGGTTGATTTTATTCCCTCCCTTGTTCCCAGTGTAGATTTCCTTGTTCCCGATGTAAATTTTTACTCCCCTCTTGTTCCTGATATAGATCTTCACTCACCCCTGGATGGGCGGGTGCCATTTTGTTGCTAGCCTCAGGTGTCAAAATGTCTTGGGCCGGCCCTGCTCCAACCCCATGCTGCCACTCCTCCCCACCTTCCTGCCTCTGCTCCCTGAGGCAGCTGCTTCATTACTTAATGTTAGGTCTGGCCCTGCTGGTTTTTCATCCAAAAGTCCACTTCATAGGTAACATTTTTTTCTGCATTATAAAATCTCCATGCATGCCAAAACATATGTACATTTTCCTGTGTTAAGTGGGATATGTAAGTTTATCTCACCACCAATCCATAGAGGAGATGGCCGCTGTGTACAGCTGTTGTCTGCTTCGTGAACAAAAGAGATTGTTTCTCCATATATATCACACTTTCCTAATAGGGAGGTTATTTTCATGTATGAAAAATGTCACATTTGAAGCAACTTGAATGGATGCAATGAACACACTTTATGTTAACCTCATGAACAAATCAACCAACATTACTTGCTCTCATTTAAAGAAAGCCCCTCCCCTCCCCAAAACTAGGATGGTTGCCCAAATATACCCATGCTGTTCATTTGTGAAAGAAAATTTTGTTGTTGTTGTTGCTAGCCTTTCCAGTTTAGTTAATCATAGCTAATTCTTACTCACCATAGACAACCAAGCAAGTTGCTATTTACAAGTCTGAATCATGGGCTCGGTTTGCATAATCTTGTTTCATTTGCATGCTTTCAGTCTGGGAAAGACCTTCGTCTATTTCACAGCATTTTACAGTGAATTTTACAGTGAATGGAAGAGAGTGCCTTGTGTGAGGGATTTGAACCCACTGCGTATCACTAAAGGGTGTGGGTCATGTCTGAGAGCCAAGGAGTAAGCACAGATCCAGGTTGAAAGAGATTGCAGCAGATAATTTTGCAGATAACTGCATATGGATTTTCTCTATAAACTTGAGGGCTAGAAATTTACTTTGAAATTTAATTAATAGTGATATTTTCAGGGATCCAAATTCTGGCCCACCCAGAATAATGGAATATTTACAGTCCCTTGTTTTGGTAGCCATTTTTAGGGTAGATGTTGACTTGTTTTGCAAAAAAAACTCCCTTGAACGATGAACATCCTTCTTAATCTGATGGGTTGTTCTTTTTTTTAATATAATTTTTATTAAGTTTTCCATATTTTATTACATTTCAGTATCAAAGAATTAGAGAAAAATAAATAATCATCATCATCATCATCATCATCATCATCATCATTCATGACTTAAAACATTGCTTAAATAAAGCATCGACCTCCTTCCTTCCCTCTAACAGACTTCTATATCTCATTACCGATTTTTCCACATTCCTAAATTCACTTTTTTACCTTAAATCAATCTTTATAAATCACCTTCTTATAAGTAAATCAGCTCCTTAATTTCCCATTACCAAACATTTCAACTTAAACCTACAAACGTATTCAACTGTTTACAATTTTCTTTCATATAGAGTATAAATTTGCCCCAGTCCTTTTGAAACAAATCATCATGGCGATTTCGAATCTTCCCCGTCAGCTTAGCCAGCTCCACATATTCAACCCTGATGGGTTGTTCTTTTGGTCTCTGGAGAACAGATTATTTAAGTAATCTATTTACATCTGGGCAGGGAAATCAGCCAACCTGCTATAGGATACTGCAGCCTCAAACAGCTGCTGAAGAGCAGTGTCAAAGGGCATTGCCCGTTCAACACCTGCTTTCGCTACTGAGGCTTTGTATTGTTTTTTATGGCATTTTACAGTGCAATAAAACATCCCACATATGACACTCCCCAGAATAGGTGGATAATAGCATTTCAAACGTTTTATAATTTTATATGACTGTTCTGTGTTACCAGCCAACATTGCACAAGCTTTCGGATAACGTATGTTGATCTCTAGAAGTTGCAGCTAGGAAATACCTGAGCTGCTAGGCTGTTTTTGTCTTTTATTACATTTATTTTGAATTGCCTAAATAAAGGCCTTGTCTGGAAACCAGTGTTTTCAGCTGAAGACGGGAGAGGCTTTTGCATAGATTCTATTTTAGATCCTCCTAAATCCCAGGATTTCAAATGGGCTCATTTCCTACAAAACAGCTTAACAGTATCAAAGAAACATGGGTAAGATAACTTGCTACAACACCGCAATAAGTTTCAGACATTATTCTGAGAGTTTTACAGTTGTAATGCAGTACTGTTGCCATCCCTGGGTTGCGTGCTTGGAACCAGCCTCCTTTTGGCAGTAGGAAACACATCCACGCTGCATGTGTCTTGCCCTGGCACACTGTCACTAAAACAACAATTTTCAAAGCAAAAAAAAAGCAGTTCATTTACAGAGCAACCCTATATGCACATTATGCTGGGGCTGTCAATTTGCCACCGCTGTGTTGGTGCAACAGCCTCTTCTAGCTAATGAAATGCTCAGCCCAGGTAGGAAAGGAAAACCACAGCAAATGCGTGGTGTTGGTGAGGGAGGGAGGGAGAGAGAGAGAAAATAGGGAGTGGTGCCATCTGAGGGCTCTGCCAGGGCTCATGCCTCAGTCTGTCTCTCCCCCCCCCCAAGCCATTCACCTTTGGGAGTTGTAGCAGAACTCTTGTGTTTGCGGTGGCTGTTTGTTCTTCTCCTTGCATATGAGCTATGTTCCTACAAAGCAGCTGCAATGGATGCAGAAACACACCTGACATTCTGATAACTGTCTGCTCCCATCAAGCACAGGTGCTCTTCAGGGCTGGGCAACCTCCCAGATCTTTCCAGATGCTGTTGGATACCAACTCCCACCAGCCCCAGCCAGTAGCCAGTTGTCAGAGAGGATGTAAGTTGCAGTCCAACAACATCTGGAAGGCCACAGGTTTCTCATTTCTGCCTTATAAGACGTGTCCCTCTTTCTCTCACTTACCTGTTCAGAATGCTCTCTCCCTCAGTTGTTGGAGAGGAGGTTGGGTGTTTGAACATGGTTCCCTGAGGCAAGGTACCTGTCAGGGGTCTGGAAGGAGAAAGGTTAGCAGTGTGAGCAAGTTCCCTCGCATGCTCAGGAGATGACATTTGTGCAAAGTGCCCCTTTTGTGGTCTACCGGCCAATTTTATCCAGCGTCCGCTGGCTGTTGGGATTGTAACCAAAGAATGGCGCCATAGGTGGCCCCAGCAAAGTCATTTCTTATGTTCTTTGACAAGAGCACATACAGTACTCAGGATCGCAGAACTGTTGTATCGTGCTGTTAATAGATACTAGGCACGCACTTGTGCTATGCAATTTAACACACATTGGCCAATGAAGGGGTTTCTATGTTATATACATTTTTTATATACATATGAAGGGCATCTTTCTTCACTGCAGCTGAAGGATGGGGGCAGACGTTGATCTTTCCATTGGTCAACAGAGTTGTCCTGTGTAGACCAAGTTGTTGGTTTTTTTGTGGGGGCCTCACCCTTGACTTTATGTTTTCTGATTTTTATCCCTTCGGCACACCCAAGGTGGATTTTTTTAATACAGTGCAGATGCCATTTTTTAATGCTGTATTTTCCCCACTTGGTTTGTGGTTTGTGAAGGGTATACGTCTCGTTTCAGTGATTCCTTTTTTGCAGCTATGCAAATGGGGATCCTGAGCTTGTGCCTCTGCACCACTCCCTCAGAGTGGCAGGAATGTGCAGCCGTGCATTTATCTGCCATTGAAAGAGAAGAACTCTGTAGGGGAGGCGCAGAGGAGCAAAATCCCCACCCACAGGTATGGCGCGAAAAAGAAACTACGCCCACAAAACCTGGGCTCAGTCTTTTTGGCACTGACTCACTGATTGCAGAGTAAACACAGGACTTGCATCTAATTAGTTGCAAGGAACAGAGAGGCATGAGCGTAGTATGAATCCCGTGTATCACTGCTTGATCTTTGATAAGCTTCAGCGCTGGGGAAACCCAGCCAGATGGGTGGGGTATAAATAATAAATTATTATAGTCTAGTTATAAGTGTGGTGAACAAGACTTGCCCGTGAGTCATGTCTTGGTACATCCTTCCATTTTGGTTTTATCTTCCAATATTTTCTCAATATACTTTAAAATATGGGGAGAAAGGTGCTTGATATGTGTGCATTTGCTTAATTTCACAAAGAAAAAGTAGCCTGCGATATGCCATTGCCAGCAGCCCAATCTTAGGCAGGTTTACTCAAAAACAGGTCCCCTTAGTTCAGGGTGATGCACTCCTGAGTAAGGGTGTATAGCAGGGGTGGACAATGTGATGCCTTCAAAAGTTGCTGGACTCCAACTCCCATCAGTTCAAGCCAGCATGGCCAGTGGACAGGGATGATGGGAGTTGTAGTCCAGCAACATCTTAAGGGCACCACGTTCCCTACTCTCCTGGACTGCAGCCTTTAGGTTTGGCACCGGCCCATTCCTATTCTCTCTGAAAACAATTCAGGTGTTACTGGGATGGAAAAGAAACAGTGGTAAAAGCAGAGTTTCCTGCCGACCTTGCACATCAGGTGTACAGCTCAGATTGTCCCTCCTGACCTATGGCAAAACCCCAAGGCAAATACCAAGGCTGGAGATTCCTCTGCTGTGTCCACCCACACATTTCTTAAAATAGAGATAATTTTCTCACTGTCCCCAGGCAATCATTAGACAGGCGGCACTCTTGGCTGGTTGACGCTCTTCACCAAAACCCGTGGTACTCATAAGCCCCACCCCTCCTCTTGCCTCCTGCCCAAAGTGCCTCCATTTTGCCTCACCCTTGGCTCTATCCTGCTGCTGCTTCTTCCTTCAAGAATTCCCCTCACATTCTTGTGCGAGGTACTTCTTCCTATCATGCCATTGAGACCGAAAAGGATCCTGGATCCTGCCTCCACCCATCACCAGGAACAGAGACCATTGGTAGATCTACACACGGGGGGGGGGGGACTGCTATAAATAAGTCAGAAATTAAATCATTATAACAACCACTCAGACAAAAAAATACACTGTGTAAAAATCACATAGAATTTTTTTTGTTCTCTGGCACCATCTGGTGTTACATGTTATAACGCATTCAAAACATTTTTTGACTAATGCAGCTGAGTCCCATGACTATGAAACGCCAGTCTAATGCCTTGCAATGTTTACTGCACCTGGCTTTGTTAGTGCCTTTGCTTGGTGCCTGCGGTGGCGTTCTCCTGCTCTGACTTTCTGGTTTTCCTTCTGCAGGTGTGACAAAGGCTGGGAAGGGGAATACTGTGAACAGTGTGTGAGGATGCCAGGCTGCAAGCATGGGACGTGCCACCAACCTTGGCAATGCATCTGCCAAAGTGGCTGGGCTGGCAAGCTGTGCAAGAAAGGTGCGTCACTCCACTTGGAACAGGGTGGGGACTTATTGAGGAGAGTGGGGACGACAGGGAAAGGAGGGCACTGCAGTAGAAGCTTATTGGGAAGCTGCCTTATACCAAGCCAGAACACATGGGCTGGTACCTGCTCTCCAGAGTTTCAGACAATAGCTTCTGCTGCTGCTTGGAAGGCTGAAACTCGGGTCTTCTACATGCACAACACATTCACTACTGACGAATGATGCCATTTCCCAACAACAGCAATTCAGCCTTAACAGAAGAACCGCACAGCCTTATTAACATCAGTAATTCGGCCGTCTTCCCATTTTCTGCTTTGAGGCCTCCCTGGAGAAAACAACCACTTTTGCTATTGACTCCAGTACTTCCCAGCTACATAAAGTTGACCTAAGGCCTTGGAGAACCACTGCTAGTCAGAATACCTTGGAAGTCGAACGGAATCTGTTCTGGAAGCCCTTTCGACTTCCAAAACGTTTGGGAACCAAAGCGCGGCTTTTGATTGGCTGCAGGAAGCTCCTGCAGCCAATCGGAAGCCCCATTGGACGTTTGGGTTCCAAAGAATGTTCACAAACTGGAACACTCACTTCCGGGTTTGCGGCGTTCAGGAGCCAAAACGTCTGAGTACCAAGGCATTTGGGATCCAAGGTACAACTGTATGCAGTGCTGGACTAGGAGGAAGTAAGGCAGCTTCTTCTGCTCCAATACAGGAGCCCACTTCCACCTTCAGAATCAGTGGCCTCGTGCCTCTGAAGAGCAGGGGACATCCAGTTGGACACTGGGAAGGAGGATGCTGTGCCAGCTGGTCACCTTTTCTTTGTACAACCTCCAGTATCACAGTAAAATAAAAAAAAGAACTTGTTGGGGGCATGTTTGGTATGAAAAACCAGCCCTGAATACTTTTGACCTGCATTTTCTCCTCCTCCTCCTCTTTCCCCTCATCTCTTTCAGACGTGCATGTCTGTGAGCACCAGACCCCGTGCCAGAATGGAGCCCAGTGCGTCTACGACCGAGATGGGGAATATTCTTGCCTGTGCCTTGAAGGATTCCATGGAAAGAACTGTGAGCTGAAGACGGGGCCATGTGATAAGGCAGGGTGAGAGATCCTAGCAGAAATTGATGGGAGGAATGGCAGGCGCAAGGAGCAAAACCTTTTAAAGGCTCCAGTCCTTTGCCTAGGAGTAAGTCCCATTAAGCTCAGTAGGGCTTACCTCTGAGTGAACGTGTATAGGATCAGCCATAAAAGGCTTCAAAACGCACCATTTCACGAACAAGGATTTCAAGGCAGCGTTCAGTTTTATAATGACTTTTTGTTGTTATTTTTTCCTGTGTGGCTTAATTTTACATGCACCTTTTACGTGCACTTAGAAGCCACTTAGAGTGGCTGGGGCAACCCAGTCAGATGGTAAAGGTAAAGGTACCCCTGCCCGTGCGGGCCAGTCTTGACAGACTCTAGGGTTGTGCGCCCATCTCACTCAAGAGGCCGGGGGCCAGCGCTGTCCGGAGACACTTCCGGGTCACGTGGCCAGCGTGACAAAGCTGCATCTGGCGAGCCAGCGCCGCACACGGAAACGCCGTTTACCTTCCCGCTAGAAAGCGGTTCCTATTTATCTACTTGCACCCGGGGGTGCTTTCGAACTGCTAGGTTGGCAGGCGCTGGGACCGAACAACGGGAGCGCACCCCGCCGCGGGGATTTGAACCGCCGACCTTTTGATCGGCAAGCCCTAGGCGCTGAGGCTTTTACCCACAGCGCCACCCACGTCCCCTTCAGTCAGATGGGTGGGGTACAAATAATAAAATAATAACTGTTATTAGAAATGCTAAGGGTTAAGGGGTATTTAAACAGATGAATAAAATGTAGGACGGCCCATATGGGTGTTGTGATTGGTCTCCATTCTCTCCTTTCAGGTCCCCTTGCAAGAATGGCGGAGAGTGCCTGGACCAGAACGGCTTTGCTAAGAACTACACCTGCAAGTGCCTGGCAGGATTCATTGGCACCCACTGCGAGATTGACGTCGACGACTGCCTGATGCGTCCCTGTGCCAACGGTGCCACCTGCCTCGATGGCATCAACCGCTTCTCCTGCCAATGCCCCACTGGCTTTGAAGGGCGTTTCTGCAGCATCAACATTGACGACTGCGCCAGCCAGCCGTGCAGAAACGGGGCAAAGTGCTACGACCGCGTCAACGATTTCGATTGCCTGTGTCCCGAGGGCTTTGTCGGCAAGACCTGTGAGCTCCTTGCTCCGGAGCCGACGTGGGTCACCGCGTTTCACCCTGATCCCAAGGGGCACGGCAACGACGTCGTGAGAAGTACGGCCAGCAGCAACCCTTGGACAACCCAGTCTGAGCCCGTCCGGGTTGTGGTGACTGGGAAGCGGGTCACTACCTACAGTGAGAAATCGAACGGGGGAGGGCTCTTGATCTCCGTGAAAGAGGTGGTGACTCAGCAGGACTCGGGGCTGAGTCAGTCGCAGCTGATTTTAGTGCTGGTGTTTGGGCTGCTCACGGCCCTCCTAGTCTTGGTAACTGTGTTGGTGCTGCTGAAGAACTGGCAGAGGGGGCGCCGGAGGTGCCAAAGCCCCTCGCAGTCTGCAAGGAAACTCCAGGACCAAGAGTGCCAAGTGGGCATGTTGAGTACGGTCTTGATAGAACCCAGGAAAACGACGGAGCTGTAAGGACCCCCCTGAGTCGGAGCCTGGCTGACCTCTGTACACCCACCAGATGAGTCAAGGAATTCTCCGAGCAGCGTCCAGGGGGATGCTCTGGCCGTCCGCCTCCAAAGCACCGCGGGCTCTGGTCGAACTCAAGGCCGTGCATCGCCAGGGAAGAGGATGTCCACGAGGCAGCAGAGCCTTTGCTTGAAAGCGGAGTCCTTGAATGCATGCAGCTTAAAGCCACTGGCTTGGTGGCAGCAACGTCTTAAGGGCAGCCAAGGAAGTGCTGGGTCATGATAAAGCCAGTGCTGGAAACAGCAAGCAAGATAGGCGGATGTCATCCCACAAGCGCTCCGAGGGATGAGGCTAAGCATGCAAGGACAGGTTGTAGTATTTGGCTAAGCCCTTAAGCATCTGGTAACTCTTGGTCAGAGTCATTGGAGGTATCCTATGGCCTGTCTGTTCACTCAAGGGGGCCCAGGAACTGCTCTGTGTATGCCCCACCACCCTCGAGCACAGGTGATATGGGACTCCCATTCTGCCTAGAGGCCTTTCAGTCTGTTTTCAAACCCCATAAGCTCTCCTAAGGACCTTGTGGTGCCATGAGCCACTTTGCTGCCTACATTGACCATTCTAGATCATTGTCTTGCCCATTGTGTCCTGTACTATGTCCGGTCTTGATCTGGCTGCAAATGTTCGGAACCTCTGAAACAAAACCCTTCTCTTCCCCTCCTCCCTGAAAGGTTTATTCAGACTCTGATTTCACACATCGTACTCCCTAGAACCTCATTTTCTCAGCTCTGGTGTCAGGAAGGGTCAAAAGCAAGCACCAAGCCAACTTCCCCTTCTCAGTCTCAGATTGTTGGCCTGAGACTCTTCACTTGCCAGAAAAGAAAGGGCTGTGTGTGAAGCTGGAAATAAGAGGCCTAGCAATCCTGATTCCAAGGCCTGATGTCTGTGAGAGATCAAACTTGGGAGTGAGCCAAAAGCAACCAGGATAGCACTTTTCAGTAGCACATGTTGAACCATACTGATGCCTTAAGGCAAAAAAGTATACTTCCGAGGATGTATCCCAAAACATTGGTCCATCAAGCTTGGTAGTGTCTGCACTGACTGGCAACAGCTCTTCAGGGTTTCAAATTGGGGGTCTTTCTCAGCCCTTCCTGAAGTTGGTGAGGATGGAGCCTGAGATCTTTTGCATGCAAAGGTTCTGTTCTGTCACTACAAACAGTTATTCTCCTTCCCTAAGTGGAAGTAAAGGCGGTGGGTGATCTCATAAAACAATTCATATTTGGCTACATAGTGATAGCAATGAAGGCAGTACAGTGGTACCTCGGGTTAAGTACTTAATTCGTCCCGGAGGTCCGTTCTTAACCTGAAACTGTTCTTAACCTGAAGCACCACTTTAGCTAATGGGCCTCCTGCTGCCGCCGCGTCACCGGAGCCTGATTTCTGTTCTTATCCTGAAGCAAAGTTCTTAACCTGAAGCACTATTTCTGGTTAGCGGAGTGTGTAACCTGAAGCGTATGTAACCTGAGGTACCACTGTACACACATTTGGAAAAGGGTTGGAAAACTCATTCAAAAACCCATTTGCTGGAGGGCAAGATAGTCTGTATAGACACTGTCTACACTTGGGTGCATGTGCTTGGTGCACGTCAAAATGCAGGTGGTGCCTCTGCACACTGTTGCTCTCATCTCGATGCACCCTTATGTTTGTGTAGGTAGAGATGCTCATCTGGAGAGGGGTGCTTGGGGTGCTCTGTTGGCCCTGCCTCGGACTCCCGCCTCTGACTTCCACCTTCCTAACTTCTGCAGAAAACCTGCGTACATACAGATCCAGCATTTATAGGATCACAACACACAATCTGTGCCCTACAAAAATGGAAGGTACAAACTGCATATTCAGAGTCTATTTGCATCGAACTGTATGCACGCAGTCCCTTGCGCAGAATACCAACACACAGAGGTCACAGGTGGGATCAGTAAGCAGAATAACATTTCGACCCAGGGTTGGGCTTCAGACTGGGGGTAATGCAGCTTCGTAGTCACGACAGATACCAGTCTGGTTGCCAAGGCAACAGGGACCTTTTCCTCCTGCTGCCTTAAACGTTTCTGCTCCCTTTTGAGGGAACACTCCCTAGGTTTTTTAAAAAAACAAACCCAAAATGGCATGTGCTCTCTGAGAGGCATAAAAATGATTATAGAACTTTTATTCCCACCTGTTTTCAGCTCAACCTTCAAATCTCCCGTTTTAATAAGTAACACAACTGAGTCAGAAGGAGGTATGGTAAACAGTTCCCTTACCTTCAGTGGCAAAGTGCACCCCATTCAATTGGGCCAGTTCCACTTCAGGCATGCCAGAGACAGTGGTCTCTCTGTCAGGGTCGTCCCTGAGGCTGTGGCTTAGGTACACCATGCAGGTTTTCCTCATTGACCTCCCTTGTTCTTTCCCCTCTCACCCCAAAATAAGAATACATGAGCACCCTAGTTTCATGGTCAAGGAGCTGTAGGTTACATGTCTGGAAATGCAACTTGAGTAAAGCAAAAAAAGGGGTGGATTTCACCATAAATATTATTTTTGTAATACACAGTTGATGAATGGTTGTAACTTTATAAAATAAATTCAGGAAATTGAGTATATGAACCAGCACCTTCCTGCTCCCCTCCATAGACTTCCCCTCTCTTGGATGATGTCATTCCATGCCTTGTCCCATCACGTACCACTGGGCCTATCTCCAAACCACAATGGTTACCCTCTAACCACAAGTCCTGACCTGCCAGAATTGCTATTGTCTTTGGCTCACTGTCAGCCCTAAGAGAAAGAGGGTGACCTCCCTTGCAAAAGAATTCCAAAATCCCTACAGAGGGGTAACAAGTGCTTGAAAATCTCTTATGTCCAGATTTCAAGAAAGTACTGCCAATTTGAACTGCTCTAAAAGGTCTGGAGGAAGGAGGTGGTTCAACCAAGGAGATAAGAGTATTAAAAACCATATGCATCTGGGAGAGTAATTTCCACTACACTTTTCCATGTACAACTTGCTTCAGAATTATTATTTTTAATCAACTGTATCTCCTTCATGTGTTGTAGGTTAAGCAGGGAAATGGAGTGACTTACCCAAAACTATCCAGTATGAAGCATGATTTAAATGCAGAATGCGAAACTGTGTACCCCACCTCCCCTAACTGCTCAAATGCCACACAGCTTTCATGTCTCAGTGTAGATGGCAAAGAGAGCAGCGAGGAAAGATCCCAGCTACAAATGGTACGGCATGAACAGCTGCCTGGTGCTGCCTTGGCTTGGTTCATTCAGAGGGGAGAGCAGCTATTCAGGCCCTGCGGACCAAGCCGCCTACTCATGAGCAGCAAATTCAGAAAGGTAGGGTCCCTTCATGATAGTCACAGCCACGCCCCTTCTCAGATTATACAACCTAAGATTACACAATTTTATAATTACAGAATAGTAATAATTAGGGACGTATTGCAACAATCTATACAACTAGGTCTTCTGGGGGGGGGTTTCTATGCACATATATGGGCAAATGATTTAGAGTCATGTTTACCATGAAGTTCCATTGTACATAACCAAACTTGCACGCCATTCTCTTAAAAACAAAATACCTTGTGTTTTCAGCATTCCTAAATGCTTAAAAGCCCCCATTTCATTCTGACTGGGTGGCGCTAAGATGCTGGAGACAGGGACTCCACTGCACACACTGGGAAAAGTAAAAGCTTGGGAATGACCAAAAGCACTCCCAGGCAACCGGCTTATTGAGCATTCCTCCTGATTTGTTTGTAAGGAGGTCAGAAGACACGGCATCAAAGCAGGTGTTGTCTCACATTTTCTAGTCTATTCCCCTGTTACTTTCCGTATCGCAAAAAGTCCAGCCTTTGGGGGAAATAGTTGTGCAAGACCTCCACATCAACTCTAGCTGTGCAACCTGAATTTGCCAGTATGTGGTTGAATCTCACCTGCAAATACCAACAGCCTGGAAGTGCCACAAGTGAGAACTGCATCAAGTAACACGGTGAAGTTGAAACTGCGTCGAGAGAAAGCTGGTTTCTGTAACCTGTCCATACCCTGCAAAATTGCCTCGACCTTTTTGCATGCTTTCTTTTCCTTCTGCTAGATGTGGGGCAGGCAAAGAAGCTGTATCAGGCAGTGTCATCCATCCTAGGAATCCTGCCCTCCCTTCCCCAGGTTTTTTGAGACTTCACCAGTTATTGCCTCCGTGCTTTCAAGCTCATCCTTGCAGGTTTTACTAAAAAGCTGCTTAACATTATCCTCGCCCCTAGCTGAGGTCCTGAGCAAAGGTGCTGCAGTCAGCACCCAGTACCAATGTCCTTACTTTTGCTCTGAAAGCATGTAAGAAGTGGCTTTCCTATGGAGGTTGAGAACAAGTCTTTCGGAAATTGGGATTTGAGGGGAAATGTACAGAGTTAAGGAGCAGACAAAGGGAGATTGTTCCAAGCATAGGAAGTGGCAGAAAAGAAAGTCAGACTGGAGAAAGGAAGAAAAACAGCTGACGATAGATGGGGCAGAGCAGAGGGGAGGGTGCAATGAAGCAAACAAGCAAAGCATCCTTTGAATATGCCAGTTGGCTGTAGGGCTTCATTGTTTGCTAGCTTCAGAGAATAAGTAACTCACAAAGTGAGAAGAGCTGTTGCATGCCGGTCTTGCTAGTGGGCTTCCTGTATGTATCTGTGAGAACAAGGTGCTGGACTTGATAGGCTTTTGGCCTGATGCATCAAAGGTCTTCCTATGTTCCTAGCCACTTTTACCTGTAGAGTGCATATTTTGTGCAAATTAACTGATGAGATGCACAGCCTGCAGACAAAATGGATATCCAATGTTTCCAGAAATCCATTTGGAAGGTGGGGGGAAAGAGGAGTCTTGGGTTCATGGAACAGGAGGCAGTGGTGACAGAAGAGTGATGATTCTTAAGGGGGAAAGGCAAAATTTTAATGTTTTTAAAATCATCATAATCTTGTTACAGGAAAATATTAATTTCTTTATTTCTTTATGCAAACACCACCATTCTCCATACACATACTATTCTCAACCCAGAAAGGAAAACCCCTCTTCACAGGTCCCACCTTTTTCAACATGAGGCGTGGCATGAATCTACTTCTGCCAAGCTCTTTCCAGATTCCAGCTGCACAGCAACTTCCCTGATTATTCTGCAACACCCACTGCTGAACATGTCAGGTTATGTACACACAATCTCTTACTTGCTCTTTAAGAACATTGTGGAATTTCAAACATTCCATTAAAGGATACTTCCTCATGGTGATTTTGCAAGCGGATCTAGTGCACCTCCATTGGTTTCAGTTTGTACACAATTCCATCCCCTACCGATTCCTGCCTCTCTGCCTATTTACACTTCAGATTGCAGTGAAGATGGGATCCAGAGTGGACATCAGAAGTGTGCGTGCATACACACAGACACACAACAATGTAAAACAAGTACAGGGAATGTGTGACCCTCCAATGTTGTTGGACTACAGTTCCCATTATTCCTGACCATTAACTAAGCTGGCTAGTGCTAATGGGAGCTGGAGTTCAACAACATCTGAAAGGCCAAGTATTTCCTATCTATGGTGTTTCCTATTGCAAGTGTGAATTCTCCCAGCGTTTCCCATACGCAAAATGAACTTGTTGTTTTCCACAATATATCCATGCTTTATCCCTTAAGAATATGTTGAATATATTTGTGTTTATACATGAAACTTTGTACATGCAAGCTGCATTGGTGCTCAACTAGTTGAGTGGTGCACTTTTAGTTCTTTCCTTCTGCATGTGAAACAGCAGAAATTGAATCTGAAACCATTTGCATGCAACACATGTGCTCTACCACTGAACTAGGGCCATTTCAAACTTCTCTACTACACTGTTTATAATACTGGTGTCTTTCATAAGATGATATGCTTGGGTTCCATTTCCTTCCATCGAGTTACAAAGAATCAACAGAGGGAGAATCTGCCAAAAAAGCACTTGAACATATTGCCAAGGTGTGCTTGAATGCAGCAGAAGAGTTGTCAGCCAACTTCCTGCATTACTACTTCCAAACATCATTTCACTGGAGTAGCTATCCTTTTGTCAGAGGCATAAATCTTGTACTTGCATGTCACTGCAAGCCCTGCTTCTGATGCGTTTTGTTCTGACTTTGTGTAGGTCTAAATGTCTTCATAGTTATGTTAATTCATATCAATATTTGGCTTCTATAAAGTTAGTTATTCCAGGAACATGTACTCTTAAAGGGTGCATTCCTGTGTACAGCCAGTCAGCTTGAATCCCATCTATCAAACTGCACAGCACTGCAGCTTAAGTTAATAGATCAGGGGTACCACCCTGCATAAGCGGGTACTGTAATTCGTGTCCTCAATTGCACTTTGCATTCCTTCTGGACAGATGGTCCAGAGAATAGGTTCAACCTTTCAACGTATTTCAAGTTTAATATGGCAATGGCAGACTCAAACCAAAAGAGTACCATAATGTTTTAAATTCCTTTCTGTTTATCCGTATCAGAACGACTCAAGGTGGGTAACTCCTGAGCCAACAGTTGCAACAATTAAACTGCACTTATCTCATCCTACTTTTCTATACAGTAGGAGCTTCTGGACTACTTGCAGACAAAATTCAGTTAAATAGGGTTTAAAACTGTACAGGAACATAAGGTAAAGGTAAAGGGACCCCTGACCATTAGGTCCAGTCGTGACCGACTCTGGGGTTGCGGCGCTCATCTCGCTTTATTGGCCGAAGGAGCCGGCGTTTGTCCGCAGACAGCTTCCAGGTCATGTGGCCAGCATGACTAAGCCGCTTCTGGCGAACCAGAGCAGTTCACGGAAACGCCGTTTACCTTCCCGCTGGAGCGGTACCTATTTATCTACTTGCACTTTGTGCTTTCGAACTGCTAGGATGGCAGGAGCTGGGACCGAACAACGGGAGCTCACCCCATCACAGGGATTCAAACTGCCGACCTTCTGATCGGCAAGTCCTAGGCTCTGTGGTTTAACCCACAGTGCCACCTGCGTCCGTACAGGAACATAGGAAGCTGCTGAACCATCTAGCCCAGCATTTGTCCATGGAGCCCAGTAATTTCTACTCCAGACTTCCCCAGCTAACAACTTCAAGAGGCTTCGGACTACAATTGCATCAGCCCCAGCCAGTGCATGCTGACTATGGTTGATGGGAATTAAGGTTCAAAACCTCTGGAGGGCACCAGGTTGGGAAAGGCTAATCTACTTTGAGCGGTAGTGGTTGCTAGAATGTGCTTACTACCAACCTATGGACCCTCCTCCATATTAGTTTCTGCCCCTTAGCAACTTTCTAATGTGTACTATATATCTTATTCAGTACCTACCTCTCTTGTTCACTCTTGCTCTCAGAGAAGCTCACAAAGTATGCACAACTCAAACGATCTTTTCACAGTATGCACCGGACAGATGACACCTTGATGAAAGTTTGGGACAATGAATTGAATAATCTCAGAGTGTGTCATTATGTAAGGAGCACCTAGTCAAATGGACAGCGAACAAAACAGATATGCATATTCCGTTTAGAAAGTGAGCATGATTCACATCATCCTGACAGTTTAGAACAAGAACAGATGTACAAAAATTGCAACTGCAAAATTTCTGCCAGATACAAAATCAAAGACTCCGATTCAGCTTGGAAATCATGTCTAAAATAAACACAAACACATTTAAGGTATTAGGTTTCCAACATTGTTTGGTGAATACTATTTTATGAATCTGATTATATAAATAGTATTATTAATTTATATACTACTTCATTTCCAAGATGGCCTCTTACTGGTTTATAAGTATAAAACCAATGATACATAATTAAAATATATAATAAAACAAGTTAATTAAGGCACTGAGATAAACATTCACAATTAAAATATGTAATAAAAATAAGACCATTAGAACAGCACAATGAAAAGATTTAAAACAGCAGTTGGTTAATAATATGAATTTTAATCAGTCAAATCTTAAATCAGTATATGAATAAGAACAAGGGGAACAAAAAGCTATCTTACTTGGTTTTAATCAGTGTACAATGACAATGAGTCAGAGCTGGTGGGGCAGCATCTTTTCAGGATGTCAAGCAGAAATCTATCAGGCAATGTGAAATATCTCTGTCCAGGACCTTGAGAGCTGCTGTCAGAGTAGACAACGCTGAAGTAAATGGACAAATATTCTGAGCTGCAATAGGGCACCTTCCTATAATCGGATTAGAAGAGTCATCCCCCCCCTTATTATCATTTTAAAACGATACTTTCCGTTTGCATATTTACAACAATTTAGTTTTCATTACGATTTTTATTATTTTACATCTGAGGACTGATTAATTGGAGGACAGCCTTTTTTGGTCAGCCAACTAAACATTGCAAGCCCCCTGCTTTCTTGGGCGTTTCCTCAGAAATCCGCCTATATACAGATCAGTGATCAAATGACACGAGAGCCAGAGGAAGCCCGTGTTCTGAATCAGCTGAAATTCTCGCAGACCACTGTTGAAACAGAACACATTAAAAGGAGAACGGGAAACTCAGGGTATATTGCTCTACACGTTTTCTCTCTATGAACTCTGAGTTACCAGGCCGGACGGAGCCCACTGATATACTGTATCTTTTCCCCCACCAGCGGCCTCTAGCGTCTGGGAGAATACTTTACAGCCCCTGGCAGGCGCAAAGGCCACGTGACTCGAGTTCCGCCGCCGCCATTTTGTAAGGACGTCGGAAGGAAGTGTCTTCCCCGCCCGCGCAAGCAGCGTTTGCGTCCGGTGCTACGTGCGCGCGCGAGGAGCGGGGGCAGTTGATACGTGCGCAGAGCGGGGGCTGGGGGCTGGGAAGGGAGCTGGCGAGAGCGGCCTTGGTGGCGGCGGAGGCGCTGCTGTTGTCGTGATGCACCGCGCCAGCAGCAGCCGTTCGAGCAAGCCGTCTTCCAGCCGGTCCAAAGCTAGCGGATCCAGCTCCAGTTCGGCTCGAGGCCGCAGCTCGCACCGCTCGCGCTCGCGTTCGCGCTCCCGGTCTCCGCGGAGCCGCCGCCGGCACCGCTCGCGCTCCAGCGGACGCTCTTCGCGCCGGTCGCCGCCTTCGCGCCGCAGTAGTCGGGTACGCTCTGCCCGTGTCGGCGGAGGCTGAGGGGGTTGCGGGTTGGGGAATTGGCCCGGCCTGAGCGAATTTAAGCCGCCTCCGAGAGCCAGCGTGGTGTAGAGGTTAAGAGTGGTAGACTCGCAATCTGGGTGAACCGGGTTCGCGTCTCCGCTCCTCCCCATGCAGCTGCTGAGTGACCTTGGGCCGTCACACTTCTTTGAAGTCTCTCAGCCCCACTCACCTCACAAAGTGTTTGTTGTGGGGGAGGAAGGGAAAGGAGATTGTTAGCCGCTTTGAGACTCCTTCGGGTAGTGATAAAGCGGGATATCAAATCCAAACTCCTCTTCTTTCGCCTCCCCAGCGTCCAGGGGTAACTGCCGCCCGCTTGCCTCAGTACAGTGGTAGCTCGGGTTACATACGCTTCAAGTTACATACACTTCAGGTTACAGACTCCGCTAACCCAGAAATAGTGCTTCAGGTTAAGAACTTTGCTTCAGGATGAGAACAGAAATCGTGCTGTGGCAGCGCGGCGGCAGCAGGAGGCCCCAACCTAAAGTGGTGCTTCAGGTTAAGAATAGTTTCAGGTTAAGTACGGACCTCCGGAACGAATTAAGTACTTAATCCGAGGTACCACTGTACCTTCCCCAAGGAGCATCCCCCAACTCTCGCACCTAACTGCCACTTGCTGGAATAGCCAGCCGTTTTCCTGCCCCCAACTTAGTTATATATAACATCATGGCCCACATTTCTGGGCATGCGCCCAGCAACCTTGAGCATCCCTAAGCAATCTTACCCGCGATCCCAGCCTTGGCTCTGTGGTGATGTGAAGGAGGTCGAAAGGCTTAATGACAGCTGGAGGGGAAGCTTTGCCTCAAAGTAGAGAAACATGAAATGTGCAACAGCCCTGTGTATCCTACATCTGAGAGGAAATCACCTTGGATTTAGTAAGACCTCTGAGTAGACCCTTCTCAGGTTGAGCTGCACACTCCTTTCTTTCCTTCATTTCTACATGAAGGAAAGTGGCCGGTGATTTTTGCCCACACACAAAATACGCTTAACAGGTTAAGGCAATACCTGTAGACTTGGCTTGTTGTGGGGAGGAGCTTAGGTTTATTTTTACCAAAGGTTCGTGGATCGTTAAATGAATTTGAAAAGTAGAATGGCTGCTAAGGCATATTGGGCGCCTAAAACCTGGTTGGATTACTTGAAAATTATTTCAACCAAAATCAACACAGCTAATGGATAGTCATGGTTAGGATGGATCAAACTCTGAATTTCAGAGAAGATTAGCCTTTGGAAGTGATTGTGCTTCACTTTTCATATTTGTCAATAACCAAATACTTAAAGATCTTAAAGGCTGGGGGAGAGATGAAGAAGAAAAGAGGCTGCATTTGGATGATTAATGAGCTGAGATATGCATCAATTTACTGAACCTGCATGCAATCTCTTTGGTCCCCTGCCCCCTTTGTTCAAGTGGGAAACATGCCAGGAAACCAGTTAACCATAGTTATTCTGTTAACAAATAATTGGAAAGCTAGTCAATGGCTTCCAAGGAGGCTAGAATATGAAGCCATTGAAATAAAATTTGCTTCCAGTTCCTGTCTTGTTTGGAAGCCAGTGTTTGGATGTAACAGTACACTGCTGTTAGTTTTGATGCCTGGCTTTGGGAACAGGGAGCTGAGCAAGCTGCATGTGGATTTGTGACTCTGCACATATCTTGGCTTAATAAACTGAGGTTTGATTCTCTAGATATCAGGAGGAAGCAGAGTGAGGAGATAAATACTTCCAAGAGATAAGTTCACCTATCTAAAAATGTCTATTAGAACTTGGAAGTGCCCTATTCGAATGATGGGCTATCCCCCTGTTCCATTATTAATTAATTTTAAGAAACAACCCATTCCTAGAATTGACCGCTTTTCTGTGAAAAATGGGGGTGGACAGTGGTTTTTTGGTGGTTTATGTCACTGGCAATAAATTGGGAGGCTTCTTATTCTTCTAAATGATACAATTGTCAATTTAGCTGCATTGTCTCATTACATTGTTGGTGTACATATTATCAGATGTCTTCACTGCACATTATAAACATTAGATGCATGTAGTGTTTTTCAAATCCACATCAATTGTAGTAAAATTTGCATACTGCATTAATATTGGCTTATTTCTTAAATAGCATCATGAACCCCCTGCCCCATAGTAACTTACTTGGCCGTAAGAATTCTGATGTCTTGTTATTTTAATTGTAGAGACGCTCTCCAGGCAAGCGCTCTCACTCTCCAGGCAAGAGCTCTCACTCTCCGGGCAAGAGCTCTCACTCTCCGGGCAAGCGCTCTCACTCTCCGGGCAAGCGCTCTCACTCTCCGGGCAAGCGCTCTCACTCTCCGGGCAAACGCTCTCACTCTCCAGACAAACACTCTCCAAGTTTGAGTGATGTGAACAGGTAAGGCTTCTCTGAAGGCCAGTCTCTCATAATTAACCTTGGTTATCTTTCTTGGTTCTTGTCCCATGGGTAATATAAAACCCCACAACCTGGTTGTAAGAGGTTGTGGGAAATGTATAGGACATGTTGGGAATCTCACATATAGGACAGACGTATTTAGCTCTCTTATTGACATATTTTTAATACCTCCCTTGGTATGGATTTAAAATGTTAGGAATTAAAGAGAGGCATTGAAAACATGTCTCCGTTTAATTTCATACAGCCTTTTTACAAATAAGAGCAGGATGGAGGTGCATAAAAAGTACATAGCTCAGTTTTGAAAACCTTTTGTTTGACTGAAATCATTAGTTTTTACATCTACTACTTTGAATTTTTCTAACAGTTTTGTCTTCAGTGGATTCTAAGGAAACCATGAGAGTAGATGTGGAATGGAAACAGCTTCTTTTCTAAAAATGAACCCCAGTTGAAAAACAAAATGATGAAACACCCTTCTAGTAAATTTCTTCTCACCTCATGACAATTTAGCTGCTATTTTAAACTCGCATGTACCTGCAGGTGCAGAAACAGTGTGAAGATCTATATTATAATTTGCTTTCACTGCCCAAACATCCTGTTTTCCTAATCCATTTTTAGGGGTGAAATTTCTTCTGCAGATCTCCAACAGCAGGTTTTTATTTATAATAATAATAATAATAATTTTTATTTATATCCCGCCCTCCCCAGCCGAAGCCGGGCTCAGGGCGGCTAACAACAATCAAATAATCCAACATCCTAAAAGAATAGGGTTATATATACAGACATGTACATGAAAAAGGGTATATTTAGGAAAGATAATTGCATGAATGACAGAAGTTGTAAAACACTTTCACACTGAACAATGAAACTTCCCCGTTGCTTTTACTTCTAGAGCCACTTCTAGAAGTAGAAGCAACGGGGAAGTTTCATTGTTCAGTGTGAAAGTGTTAAAGCTATATCAACACTAGAATAAGGAAGACCCAAATTGGACCCACAAGAAAATGTTGCCACATAGAGTGCTGCTGATCAGGGTTCTCTCAGTTATTCCATTCCATTCCACTTCACTCCCCCACCAGTGTCCTGTGCTTTTGCCCCCAACACTCACCCAATATTCAATGCTGACAGAGCTTACTCAGTATTCCTTGGGCTGGTTATTTCCTTATGTCTCTCCTTAGAGTTTTTGAAAATATTTTTTCTGCATCTGCAAATCTTGGGATTTCCCTGAGCCAAAATATAGCCCCCTCTTAATGTTTGGGTGGTCATTTTGGCTACAGAAGGATCCATTATTAGTTTGCTGTTAGTATGTAGAATATGGAAGTATAACAGCAGAGATCAATCAGTGTGTAATTTAAGGGTTAATTATGTTGTCGGTAAGTCATCTAGACGAGGGGGTAAGTTGCGATCAGCGCGGGTGGCATGATATTTACTGAGATAGTAGCTGCTTTGGTAAGCTGTCCAGCTGTGAGTGAATTTTCTTGTGGCTGTTTCATTGAATCTAAGAATGCTGTCAACAAGGCCTGTCAAAAGGCAAAACTTCTTTCTTTCTGCTGGGCAGGGCTGTCTTACCCATAGGCGCTAGGGGTGCGGGGCACCTGGGTGCCAGAGTTGAGTCCGGGAAGAGCCCGCCCGTCGGTCGGAGCGCTGCAATTGGCTCTTCCGGGAGCCAGAGAGAACAGCGATCAGGCGGGTGGGCAAGCAGACAGACACGCACCCAGCCAGGAGGAGGAGGAGGAGGACAAGAGGCGGCGGCAACAGCAGCCAGCAGAAAAGGCGGCAAGCAGCATTCTCAGCATGCCTTTCCCGCCTCGGCTTTAGCGGTATCCCTTCGCTCCTCCGACGCTGGAAGCAGCAGCAGCAGGCAGGCAGCCCCTCCTCATGCTGTCCTGGGTGGTGGAAGGGACAGGTGGGCCAAAGGGTTGCCGCCGCTCGCCTTTCCCGTGCGTTTCTCCACTTTGGTCTGACTTTGGGACTCGAAGTGTGCTGGCGGCAGCTTTCTAAGAGAGAGAAAGAGTGAGCTTTTCGCCAACCAGGTGCCTGACAACTCTGGTGAACCTTTCCTTAAAAAAGGTCAGCAACTTTGGGGTTCCCCCCCCTAAAAAAAGGTTGACAACTGGGCAACTTTGGGGGGGGCGCCGGGCGGATCTTTGCACCCCTGCGCCGCATATGCTTAAGACAGCCCTGTGCTGGAGTTTGGTTTGTTCAAGAAACTTTGGCCAGTATTTTATTGCTGGGCACATTGCTCAGTGTCTCTGCTAACAGGGTACTGTTAAAGTGATTTTAACTCTGTCATGGTGATAACAACAATGCAAATTACCGTATTTTTCGCCCTATAAGACGCACTTTTTCCCCTCCAAAAATGAAGGGGAAACGTGTGTGCGTCTTATGGGGCGAATGCAGACTCCTTGGCTTCAGCGATAGCAACGCGAAGCCTCCAAGGCCTGCGCTCGGGAGGCTTCGCATTGCTTCCGCTGAAGCCAGGAGAGTCTGCTCTTTGAGGCTGGCGGTGGGGGAAAGCAGCGCTTCCCCCATCGACAGCCCCAGAGGATGGGGGGCAGCGGGAAGGTGCACGACGCCTTGCCGCTACTCTCCAACACGGGTTTGAGGCTGGCGGTGGGGAAAGCAGCGCTGCCCCCCATCCTCTGGGGCTGGCGATAGGGGAAGCGCTGCTTTCCCCACCGCCAGCCTCGAAGCCGGGTTGGAGAGTAGCGGTAAGGCGTCGCACGCCTTCCCGCTGCCCCCCATCCTCTGGGGCTGGCGATGGGGGAAGCGCTGCTTTCCCCACCGCCAGCCTCGAAGCCGGGTTGGAGAGTAGCGGCAAGGCGTCGCGCGCCTTCCCGCTGCCCCCCATCCTCTGGGGCTGGCGATGGGGGAAAGCAGCCCCCATCTCCTAGAAAAGCCCGCAGGAGCCGCGCACCCTTTAAAGAGCGAGCGGCTCTTGGGGGCTTTTCCCCAAGGAGGGAGAAGGGACTGACTGGCCGAGTCAGTCCCTTCTCCCTCCTGCGGGCTTTTGCAGGAGATGGGGGAATTCCCCACCTCCCGCAAAAGTAGGCAAAAGCCGTGCGCTCTTTAAAGGGGCTCCGCGGCTTCTGCGGGCTTTTCTATGGGGGGGGGGAATTCCCCCACCTCCTAGAAAAGCCCGCAGGAGCCGCGCACCCTTTAAAGAGCGCGCCGCTCTTGGGGGCTTTTCCCCGAGGAGGGAGAAGGGACTGACTGGCTGTTTCAGTCCCTTCTCCCTCCTGGTCGAAAAGCCCGCAGGAGTCACGCGGGGCTCCTGTGGGCTTTTGCGGGAGGTGGGGGAATTCCGCCACCTCCCGCAAAAGCAGGGAGAAGGTCTTGGAGTAGCGCACAGGCTGCGTGCAGCCTGTCCACTTCTCCCAGAGCTGCGGGGGGAAATCACATTTTTTTCTTGATTCCCCCCCCCCCCTGAAAACTAGGTGGGTCCTATGGGCCAGTGCGTCCTATAGGGCGAAAAATAGGGTATAACTTTTTAGCAACTGATAGCTTGATCCTATGAACCCCCCCTTTTAAGGGCTTATAATAGCTTGAGCTGGTAAAGGTCTGTGACTTGATGGACAATTTTTTTTCAGTTGAATCCAGTTTGCCATTATCTATCTTATTCTCCTGCAGTATTAGAAAATTAGATAAATAAGCTAAGCTCCCAAATGGTTCCTTAAACCAAGGTTGCTGTCGTCAGAATGGAATGCATACTTTCCATTTTGGGGCAAGACAGCTCCAGTCTTAGTTTTCAAATGATGGACTGTCTGAATTCTGAATTAAACTTCTGATTACCTTGACCTATTTAAGAGCTTTGAGAACTGGAAGAAGAAAAGTCACTTGATCCAGGGATAGTCGACATACATATATATTGACCTAAATTGACCTCTTTTTCTTAATGGTGACTGCTCCTGCTCAGGCTGCACAGAAAAAGCAATTTGGTTCCAGAAATTCATTCGGATTGTGCAGATAAAATGTAACTGATATAATTTTACAGGATGGGGTATTAGTGCGTGAAAACAGTCCAGATCCAATGATCCCCAAATGGTGATGTCGGGTGCCATCCTGGTGCCCAGGCATCTTGCTTGCAAGTGGTCAAAAGCCAGGGGCAAAATGCGCCTGGTGCCTGGCTAATTTTGAACACTGCTTTGAACTGATAAGGAAGTTGTCTTCCATATTTTGATATTTTGCTTCAAACTGTTTTTGACATGTTAGGTACATGAAGATCTCTTCAAAATTATTGTTGGGAAAGCGTTCAGCAGGCTGAGTGTGATGAAAACATGTATTTAGGTTCAATGCTTTAAGCAATCCTCATTTAAAAACATGCTTGGAAGTTATTTTTAGTAGTAATTCTGAGGGGGGTTTTGTTGTTGTTTTTTTTGCTAAAGTAATATGCAGAAAACAGTATGTGAAGGAAATTATTTGAGGAGTGGTGGGTGAGAAACTGCTGAATTTGGAACTACAATATTGTTGCTGATGAAAGGGGGAATTCTACTACTGTAAAAAATACCAAAATGTTCTGTTGCTCACTTTCCCCCTAGATAGCCAGCAAGACATTTGTGTGTGTTTTTTTTATGAGACCATCTAAAAAAGCTAAACACAACCCTAAATGTGTGTTGTTCAAATCCACCATAAAATAATTGAAGTATGCAGGCCTTTTGTGTAAGATAAATAGACAAACTGGAACCTGAGTGCTCTCAAGTTTGGGCTTCTGTTCCTTCTGTTCCTGTTGCATGTCTCCTATGCTCATAAATAACAAGACTTCTGAAATGAATTATTTCGCTCACTGCAGCATAGTTTGGACTGTCAAGGGGTGAACTTATTGCTGAATATATAAAATCTTCAGAACCAGCCATCTTGGATTCAAGGCAAGAAGTATTGAGTTGTCATACATAGGGCACTTTATGCCAGCTGGAGTTCAGGAGGGGTTATTCCAAGTTGCTGATTTTGTTCTGTACCTCTCTTATTAGGGATGACTTGGCTGATGGTCCAATATTTAGCAGTGGCCTTCCACGTCCTCAAAGCATTGAGCGATATTCCCCGAGCAAGGAAACTCCTGCTTCTCCTTTCAATACAGGACAAGATGAGGATTATCGCTTTAGAGACGATTTCCTCCATCAATCAGACTATAGCACCAGCTATAACCATCTACAATATCTCCCAAGGGAAACGGAAAGGTATAGAATGCTACTTGGGAAGCCATCAGAGGATACAGGGCAAGACCTGGAACTTCCTAAACATGACAAAGATGACAGACTGCTTAAGATAGACATAGAGCCTGAGGATTTCTTGTCTGGGACATGGAACTTCTGCAAACAAGATCCTAGTAGGAGCCCAAGCCTGCCATTTCACGATGTGGATTTACGTGTACTTGAATATACTGGGAGAAAAAGCAAAGAGGAGGAGCTGAGCAGAAATTGCAGTCAAGACCCTGAACATAAATATATTTATAGACCTAATGAAATATCAGCAATGCCCAAAAAATCTATTCTGAAGAAACACAGGGATGATCCTTCGGTGCAGGTTTGGCATGTATTTCTCTCTCTGGTTAAACTGTCCTTTACACTTTTTACTGCTCTTTTATTAAATCTTAAATTTTATTATTTAACTTGATCTCTGTTAATTCTGGAACAAATACCCTCAGAATAATATCCAGGCTTCCCTCACAGTTGTGGAGTTTGTTTGGTATAACTTGTAGAATAATCAGCATATTGGATCCCATTTTTCTTGGAATGAGGACATTTTACTAGTTTTGGTATTTAGAGCATCCCACTTCATGAGCAATTCTACCTTTCAAAAGTTTTTATTCAGCTTATTCATATAGCTTTAAAATTCACACACAATCAAAATCCTTACTTATTAAAAAAACCAACCCATAGCTTTCCAGAAACAGATTTCCAGGTAGTATACATAGGAATTTAAATACAGGCGATTCCCTGTTAGTGTGGGGGTTGCTTTCCAGGTCATTGTGCATGTCAGCAATTGTGCGTAAGCCCATTTTGCTCCCTTCCAAAGCTGAAAGCAGCGCATGTCTTGGTAGTCACATGTCAGGTAGACAGGTGCAAGATGATCTCCACCTGGACTACAATCTAAAACAACCGAGAATACAATAAAGTTGAGAATGGCAGAACTATTCAGCTAGATAATATAACAATTTGTAGTGGCTGGGTGACAAAAATATTTTTACCTGGTTCAAGCACCAGATTCACTACCTTTGGCAGTACATTCTGTAGCTGTGATGCTATCACACAGAAGAGCCTCCCACTTGTATATGTGTAATGTTTTTCTCCTATAGATAGAATCTGCGGCAAGGTGCCAGAAATGTTTTAACACCTTAACATCTGAAGGCAGCCCTGTATAGGGAACCTTTTTAAGGTTTAATGTTATTACTATGTTTCTATATATATGCTGGAAGATGCCCAGAGTGGCTGAGATACAAATAATAAATTGTTATTGGTATTGGTATTATTATTATAAGGGTACTATTATTCACATCTGTGTGTAGTCTGAAATTGAAGAGTTGGCAATTTATGCCGTACATTTACCATGTTGAGCATTTTTTTAACCCGCTTGAACCTAATACAAGAATCTTAATACTAGAATTACCTAGTTGGATAGGACTGCAAACATTCTCTCAGATTGGTATGGAATGCTCTGAACAGGTGACATTTCATACTATCATGACTGGATTGTTTTTCTGTTGTGTAGCTGTGGAGAGAGAGCACCTTGGCAGGTGGTTCCAGTACTAAATACTGTAAATAAATAATGCTTTTCAAAACCATGCCAACTATGATGTGGCAAGTACCTTTTTGGCATCCTGCTCTCTCTGTCTCAGGGTTTCAGCATATGAAAAAATCAGTTCGTTTCTGATAATAGTAACAATATGCCTGTGGGAATTATCTTTTTGTAGCCGCCATAACTAGAGCTGCACATAATGCTTGCTTGTGAATGTTTTGGTGCAAAAACACTTTGGGTTTGGTGGGAAATGTTGATTTCAAATCTCCAAAGGTATTGTTTTACATATGTTTGTCCCTGTCCACTGCCACTGTGTTGCTCCTCAGTTACTCATTTGACATGGTTTTTCTTCAATCTCAGCAAATCAGGCATCGCAGAATGATTCTCAGGGTACTGCATAGCCCCTCAGCTTTGGCTAAATGACAGTGTTATTCAGGGCAAACAAAGCCCTCTCTTTGCCCTCACTGTGAACGAGGGTTGGCTTGAGTAGGGGCAAGAATTGCACAGCTATTACCAAGGTATCAAGCTGACAAATCTTACCTTACTGTACTGGCAGTTTTATAGCTCATTAGATCAGTGTTGCAAGCCAGGGTTGGCCTTTAGTGGGGGATAATCAGTCACTTTCTCTTCCAGTGCCCTATTAAAGACGATCAGGCAGGAGTGTTGATTGTGGGCAGTGAAAGTGACATGACAAAAGTGCATAAAATTATGCACAGCATGGAGAAAGTAGCTAGAGAAAAGTTCTCTCTTTCTCATAATACTAGAACTTGTGGACATCCAAGGAAGCTGAATGTTGGAAGATTCAAGACAGACAAAAGGAAGTGCTTCTTCACTTCACATAGTTTAACTGTGCAGTGTAGTAATAGTAGTAATAGCCGCTAACTTGGGTGGCTTTAAAAGAGGATTGGCAAATTCACAGAGGTTATGGCTATCAGTGGCTGCTAACCCTGATGGATATGCTCTGCCTTCACTGTTGTGTTGGAGGTGGTATGCTTCAGAATACCAGTTGCTGGAAACTGCAGGTGGGCAGAGGGCTGTTGCTCTCAGCTCTTGCTTGTGGGCTTCCCTTGGGCTTCTAGTTGGCCACTATGAGAACAGGATTCTGGGCTAGGTGGGCCACTGGCTGGATCCAGCAGACTGTTCTCATGTTCTTAAAGTATAGCCCATCCCTAATCAAAATGGCCATCTTATGCAGATGTAACAGCGTGGTGTTTTGGAACTATTTTGTCTCTTTCAATTCCATTTTTTATCTTTGTCTTACAGTTTTCAGTTAGTGTTATGAACTACTGACTATAAACCCTTTATATTAAAGTTATGTCTGTCTTAATAGATTGGGAAAGTGATTAGCCTCCTTGCAAAATGTAGTAACAAATGGCAATTTCTTTCTTTTTAGCCTGAAGTCTTTTCTAGCAGTTCTGCCTCTCTCAAAGAGCCCCCTCTTCTTTCAGATGATCCTCCTTTTCCCCAGAGAACCAACAGCATTGCTCCTTTTTCAACTGAGGAGGTGAAATTCCTCAAACAGTTCAATAAAAATGCAGATGTAGAACCTGCAAATACAACATCTGAAGGCAATGTGCATAATTGGAAGCTGCATTCTGGCCAAAAACAAAACATTTCCCATTATAAACAGAATTTTGGGAGCTTTTTGAATCGGAGAGAGTGTCATGAGTCCACATCAGAGCCTGAAGACCAGCACAGTTACTTCTTGCTTCCTCATGAAAGAGCCAGCCAGGATGGGAATGGCTTTTCAAACATTCTGAGTATGAAAACAGATTCTACCAGCACTCAAGAGAAGAGAAGGAACAGCCTCCTTGATGATGTTGAGGCTGAAGAGAAGTTTCTTTATGGTGATAATGGGGATGACTCAATTTTTATTCAAAGGATAACATTGAGTGGTGATAAAGAACATGGAAGGAAGAAAATAAACTCTCCTCCTGCTAGTCTATCTGTAAAATCAGACACTTTAGAAGAATCCAGACCAGAGCATGAGAAAATTTATGACTTGCTCAAAACTATTGGTCTTGACATTGGGGTGGCTGAAATTGGTAAGCTTGCTGCCCGCACTCAGGAACGACTCCATGGGAAGAAAGCATCTCGTTCTCCTGATCGTCGTTCATTGGCTTCTCGTAAACCTAGGAAAGAATCTAGGGAGTCTAAGGAAAGGCACTGCAGTAAAAGTGACACTCATTCTCCAGAGTCAAGGTGGCACCACTCTCCCTCTCCTGATTATTTCCCACCATCTAAAGAGATGTCTCCTGCTTCACATTCTAAGCACACTGAAAGCAAAATTGTAAGGCAAGATTATCATTTCCCACAAGAGCAAGCTGTTCCCATGGCATCTCCAATTCCATCTGCCCCACCTTGTCTTCCTCATATGTTTCCTGCTCCCATATATCCCCAGTATAGTGTTCCATTCTATTTACCATTTGGTGCAACTCACCTGCCACAAAACTATCCACCTCCCACAATGCCCCCTCCTGGCTATAATCCATATGGACAGTATTTCACTTATGCAGCTTCTGGCTGGGCCACATATCCTACTCCCCAGCAGGCTGGTCCTGAATTTCCAAATGCACCTGAGTATGGTCCTCCAACAGTGCCACCAAATCATTCAGTTTCCAACGTAAAAGTTATTCAGACAATTTCCACAACACGAAGGACTTGTGATATCAAAAGAAAGACATCTATGATTGTTCAAACCCCTTTCTCTGCTCCTCATTCCAAATTGCTCCCTCAGCCTACCCCCAAAGGCGCTAAGGAAAAATACCTGATGATAGAAATCGAGCTGCTCAGAAACAGAAGGTGAGAATGTTTATCTTACAAGCAGATGTATCTTCCTCCCCCCCCCTACCACATTTCCACATTTCCTTTTCCACATAACCCAGAAATAGTACCTCGGGTTAAGAACTTTGCTTCAGGATGAGAACAGAAATTGTGTGGCAGCGGGAGGCCCCATTAGCTAAAGTGGTACTTCAGGTTAAGAGCAGTTTCAGCTTAAGAACGGACCTCCGAAACGAATTAAGTTCTTAATCCAAGGTACCACTGTAATACTTTTTCTACTGCACATATTTTCCTAACACACAATGAAATATGAAACCAAGTGCAGAATTGATTCCTTATTTAAGATTACATTTTTGGATTTAAGGTCTGCCGTTTTACAGAAGTTCAAAGCACATACAATTTTATTCTAACTTTTTTTCTGCACTTTTTATTTGACATTGGATTACGTATAGTTTTTTTGAACAGGATGTACCTCTAATGTCTTGAGCTATCTAATGGCTGTTTTTATGGTACTATGGCAAGACACACCTTATTAATTGTTTGTTGTTTATTACCTGCCCTTCACCCTAAGGTCTTAAACAGTCTCTCTTTAAGGATACAATCTACATGCACGTCCTGCTATTGGAACACTTGGTAACTGAAATCTCAGCCAAACACAAAGAATTCTACCCAAACCTCACTACACAAACAGCATATTCAGATACCCAAACAGATGGAGTTTGCTACTTCATGTTTTGCTGGTCAGCAGCAGCCATTTTGGGCAGAAACCAGGGAGGGAGGGGGGGAGATCAAACAAATTACAAAATAGAAGTGTTCCCATAGGAAATAATGGAAATCATAAGATCATTATGTGAACATACACCTAACAAATGATTTCCTGGGAACACATTTTGTTCAGAAAGCAGGACCTGCATGCATTTAAGCTTTTAAGCTTTAGTAAGTTTTAGTATGTTTCATGTTTAGTGGCATTTAGTATGTTAGGAGCTGGGTGCAATGAATCACAGGCTGAGTTAGCAAGCATAAGATGAAAATATTTACTTTCAATGATTGTTGTAGTTTTAGTTGGGTTGTAATCCATGAAAGGGGGATTTTTAATACCTTCCTTCCCTTCACAAACCTTTTTAGGTATTGGAGGAAAGAGGGAAATTGAAGGCTGAACAAGAAGCACGACAGAAGAAACTGCATTATCTGACAGTTGAGTTAAACAGACTTACAAAACAGGAAGGTACTGCACTCATTTTATTCTTCCTTTTCCCCTTCTATCCTCTAAAGTGGTGATGCTGGACATTGCATAATTTGTTTTTATCTCAGGGTATTATCCTAAACAGGGAATTAATTAGGGTGCAACCCAAATCATTGCAAGTAACTGTCAGTTCTTCATACAGTAATGCAAACCCTGCTTCTGTCTTTTGGGTATACCAAAATGGTACCTTATAATTGATTACCCAAAATAATTTTGCATGTATTGATGATTTTCTTATGCTTTCCACTCTACCACTTTGACTGGCTTAGGGGAGATGATGCGGAAGATGCGTAAGGCAAAAGATCCCTTGCTGATGGAAGTGAACCAACTACGAGAGAAGATAGCAAAGGAAGTTGCTCAGCTGCAGATGCATTCTGATGCGGCAGAGAAAAAACAATCTGAGCTTGATAAGGTAGCTCTGATCCTGGGGATTAACATTTTTGAGAAACCCCGGAAGCAGTCTTCTGGAAATAAAGACTCATCAGAAAAAGACAAGTCAGAAAATGGAAAAAAATGAGGAGATAACTTGCAACTCAATCCAGGTAAAATAACAGATGCACTCACCAAGGGAGTTCAGATAATAATTACTTAATTAGTCTGGATATAAATTAGCCTTTTGCCCATGCATGTATCCCCTTCACTTCTCCCTTTGTACAAGCCAATAAACAAACCAGGAAGTCTTCAATTAACTTCCTATTTTATGAGTCCTATGTCGTGAATTACTGTTTTATGTCTAAAGGAAAGTAAAATAGTTGTTAAGAAGTTTTGTCTCTTGGGTCTTTGGTTTAAATTAAATGCTGATACAATATAACAACTCTACCAAATTCACGGAAATAGAAGGTAAGCTATCTCTAAATTTTCTAAGCCGCTCAAGGTTAATCCTAAATCATTATCTACAGTCCCCCCCCCCCTTCACAGCTCTGTTGTCAGACTGCAATGATGGGAGAAACTTTTTTCACTCCCAGCACTGGGCTGTCAAAACTCAGAAGCCTTTCAGAGGTAGGAGACTTTCACATGTAAAAGGTAGCAGCAGAGAGTTCTCTCCCCCGCACCACCCCTTTTTATAAATAGCTTTTACTGTTGTAGCAAATCAATAGTGGCGTTTTGTTTTGTTTTATTCATTAAATTTGCATATTGCCCTAAATCTATAGATCTCAGTATTGTTCACAACATAAAAAACTTGATTAGGGGATAGGAGAGAAATTTGATCAGTTCTCATTGAATGCTGAATCTATCAAATTCTCACTTTCCAAAACAATATGAAAACTGAAACGCAGCCATCCTTTAAATTTCACCCATACCCAAATTTTGCAATGCAGTTCTCCAGCCAAACAACCAAATGCATATATTTAAAAAATGCCTCGGTTGGGGGAAAGTGCATAAAAATTAAGATATTAGTAAAAATAGTGTACATGTGATATTAGAGGAAATTGCAAAAATGTGTCCATTAGTCAGAACTGCATACAAAAATCTCTTAATTAGAAGAAATGCACACTAAAGTGCTGATGTATTATTATTATTATTATTATTATTATTATTATTATTATTATAGCAAATCTTTGTAGAAACTGCATTTCAGATTAGAAAAATGGTAACAGAGAGAACCAAAATTGATAGATCCTTCCATCCCAACTCTTCTCTCTAGGGCTATATCACCTTATATGCATCTCAGAAAGGATGTTATGTTATGATGTAGCATCCTTCAGTAAACATTGTGAGGAGAAAACATGGCTCCGTACTTCACCCTTCCCTCCAGTGCACTTAGAAGGATTATAAGTTGTAACTTAAATGTAGGGTGGTATAGCCCCATAGAGGATTCAGAGTACCAGCACTGCTTTGCTTTGCTCTGGCTTTGCTCTATAGCAGCAAATACTTTAAATAGAAAAAGCCCTCTGCTGTAAACCTTTATCCAATTATGTCCCCACCACTGAAAGATCTCAGAAAGACTTGTCAACCCAGATGTAATTCTGTCACCTTCTTTCCCATTTCCGCCTGACAGGATGAGCTCCCATTGCTCTGTCCCAGCTTCTGCCAACATAGCAGTTTGAAAGCACTCCAGTACTAGTAGATAAATAGGTACTGCTGCGACGGGAAGGTAAATAGTGGTTCCATGCGCTCTGGCTTCCATCATGGTGTTCTCTTGCGCCAGAAGTAGTTTAATCATGCTGGCCACATGACCTGGAAAGCTGTCTGTGAACAAATGCCGACTCCCTCGGCTTGAAGTGAGATGAGCGCTGCAACCCCATAGTCACCTTTGACTGGACTTAACTATCCAGGGGTCCTTTACCTTACCATTCTCATTAAGGTGTTTGGGGCTGCAGTCCTATTGTGCTGTTAGTAAAAATAAACATTCTAGAAGCTTTTTATGGCTGAATATCGGGGTAAAAATACTTAAAATATAAACAAGCATCATAAATATACCAACAAAAAGGATTGGATTTTGCAATCAGCAAATCTGTATTATATCAACATGTTTGGTACAGAAAGCCTTTTATAATCATTTCAGCTGTTAATGATTCTGCCATTGTGCATTCTAGGACTCTAAATGTATAATTAGAAGTACACGTATAGATTACTCAGATTGCTACATTATATAATCAGAAAGATACAATTGTAAAATGATCTATTTTAACACTTGCTTAGCCAACAACTGAAATTTTCTAAAACAAATTATTGTGCATAGTGATTTTTGCAATCCTAAAAATTATGTATAGATTTGTGTTTTTGAAAAGATTCATTTTATAGAGGATTTTGTGTACAATCTGGTTTTTCTGCTGATCTGTAACAACCTGGCCACAGAAAAATCCATATCTTGACAGTGAGTTACTCATATAGGCATCTGTTTCCCACTTTATCTAGCATAATTAAGACTTTAACACATGGTTTCCTGTGCATACAATGTGTAACTATTTGCCAATTGGATACTGTCAATGTCCACCAAGGAAACTGGCTTCTTCTGGCAACAGGTGTACTGCTGCCAGGCTCAGCATGCCTAGAGGAGCAGCTCAGAAGACAAGAGAGCAGGCAACTGGAACAGCTGAGGAACAAGCTTTTAAAAATCCATTTAGCTTCTGCTTCTACTTACCTGCCAGGCCAATGGAAGCAGTGGAGAGTTGACCTATAGTAAAAAAATGTTTTGAGATTAGCTATAGCTGAGAAAATAACCTATACTGAAAGGAAAGTAAAAAACAGATGCCTTTTATGCCATCTGATGGCCATGTATTTCATATACACGCAGGTCCTGCTTTCCCAGTGCAATGCCTTCCTCTAAACAAGAAAATAATTTGTTAGATCAGCATTCACATGACAAAGGTGGTGGTTTCCATTACTTCCTATGGGAACATTTTTAATTTGTGATTTGTCCAATCTCAATCCTTCCCTGGTTTATGCCTGAAACTGCCACAGCCAATCAGCAAAACCAAACAAAAGAAAAGCTGATTTGTTCAATCTCTCTTGCTCCCTGATTTGTCTGATCTCTCTCCGTCCCTCCATGGTTTCTGCTCAAAATGGCTGCTGGCAACAAGCAGAGCATGAACAAGTAAGGAAGTGGGCAAGCTCCAGCTGTTCAGATATCTTAATCAGCAGTTTGGGTATAACTGAAATTTTTAATAACAAGTGTTCCAATAGTGGGACCTGTGTGTACTAGTGAAAGGGGTCTACAAAATATGTTATCTGCTTCATCATTACAAATCTAGATGTTGTGACCATGTATACTTCTTGATAGTTGGATACTTCAGTTGGAGAAGATGACCTCATTGCGGACAGATGCTGCCCTGCAACCCTGGAAGAATAACATCAGAGAATCCTGCAGAAAAATGAAAAGAGGGACAAATAGTATAGGGACATGAATACTTACCAGATATCTGGAGAGACTTCGGGGAGGGGTGTTATGATTATGTTTATTTGTCTAGTTATATTTTGTTATATGTATATGAAAACCAATAAAAAGTACTTATAGAAAAAGCAGTGGAGAAAGAGGAATTTGATACAGTAGAATGGAGATTTTTCTTTTATGAACTGAAAGTATTTGGTTTTATACTCCAATTCTTAACTTGGATTTGCTGAAAGATGAGGAAGTGTGACCCTGTTGATTATATTGATGTGATTCCAGAGGCAAGGCTTTTTGTGAACAAGGACATTGTTTTTCCTTTTTAGACTGGAACTAAAAGTTACCATCCATACCATGTCAAACTTTTGTGTTCATTTTATTTGATCACTCTATTTCCAGCCTATACCAGTGGGTGGATCATGCCAAGATGTGTTTGGAACAAAACAATTCACACTTTGCACCACATCCATCATATCTATCACTTCCCTTTTCCACTCATGTGTTTCCTGACCACGAATGCATGTATTTCATAGACCTGCATGTGCTTAAAAAAAATAAATTAAAAATTGGAATGCTGGTATTTCAGAACTTTGACTTCTGATTGGCCACAGTCAGTTCTCCTTTTCCAACTGTACTTCATTTCTAATCACAATAATTTGTATTGTGTGATTGAAAAACAGCCTATGTCTTCTGTACAATGACACATGCACACAATGTAACTGGCAAATACCTCCTTTTACTAAAAGTTGGAACATTTATTATGGTCATTCATTATAAAGTGCTAACAGAATTGCTGGAAACCTTAAATTGCAATTTTTCAAAAAATAAATAATAGAGCTGCAGAAATTTGTCCATATACACTGTGCAAAGGTCTTTAGTAAAGAGATCTCTGCAACATTATAAAAGTAGTAACATGCCTGGCAGTAATGGAAAGAAACAAAATTGCATGGATAGTGTGATCAGGGGAGAGCAGAAGAGAAGAGCTGTGATTAAAGGATAGCTTTCTGGAATTGTCATTTACCCAAATCAAAACCATAGCCAAATAATCGTAAAGGGTAAAAGAGCAAAGATATGGTGTGCCTGGTAATTGAGATGTAACCCATGGATGTGAAACTTGTAGCCTTCCAGATGACGTTAGCCTTGCCATCAGCCCCAGCCAGCATGGGCAATGATCAGAGATTATGAAAGTTGTAGTTCAACATCATCTGGAGGGCTAAATGTTCAGTTTGGGGGGTAGCAGTTGTGCATGGGTTCCTAGGTGTTTGAAGGTATAGGAGACAGAATGGATTGGAGAAATGTGATTGAGAGAAGAGAGCTACTAGCAATTCAAAGAAGGAGTTCAGGTTCTAATGTTTTTTTGAGAGTCCATACTCAAATAAGTAAGAGAGGTCAGTGCCCATATTCTCAAACAACCAAAAGAAGGGCTTATATTTTCTGGCGATCTAGGATGAAGGCACTTCTAAAGGTGATTATTTTGAACCCCAAGATTGCTCTTCTCTCAATTTTTGCTGCGGATGCCCAGGACCTTACTCAAATGGATCTTCTTATCTGCCTTATCGTGGCAGCACAGCTTACCATTGCTAGACACTGGAGAACTTCAAATGCTGGCCTGTTTGAAGTGTGGTTCATGCAAGCTTGGGACTTAATTTTAATAGAAAAGGCAACAACAACTTCAAGACCTGAGGAACAATACTAAATCAAATATACAACATGGTTTTGGTTTTTTTGTATGCTTTGACAACAGAACATGACTACAGACCACCTACAGCTCATGAAGATTTATGGAAGGACACTTTTATTTGACGGGAAATATTTACATGATACTGAATTACTTTGAAATGAGACTGTGCTCTGGTGAGGGTGTGGGTCTTTATATCTTTTCTTACGTTGCTCAAACGGGAAAGAAACAAGTCATTTAAATAAACCCAGAACTTCCTACGTCTTTACCCTGCCCCCAGCATCGACCATGATGATCAGTCTCACTGGAGTCGATTTTCAGTCTCTAGCTGTACTGGCCAGTCAGCTGCAAGGTGTATATGCATGCATCCAGTCAGCAATCACTGTGCTGCTAGGTCCCACCTTGATCTGCAGCTCACAGTTTTTTCAAGCAATTCCTTCTCTTGGAGAATGAGCTTTTAGCAATTTCCATTGAAAATAGCCTGAGAGGACATTCATCCCTCACCCAGAGTTTCCTTGTGATTGGCAACATTAGCCAATCAGAAGTCATCAGGACACAGCCATTTGCATGGCAGAGAGGTGCTTCTAACTGATGCCCCCAACCAACCCTGTACTTGCTGTGAAACCTCAGCTTTCTCCAGTTCTTGTGTGCTGCCCCCTAATTGGGTCCTGACTCAGTCACACCTCTTTGGGCTGTGGTGGAGCAAGAGCAAAGCTGGATTGCTCAGCTACCTCCAGAGAAGCAGGCAGCCAGAGGTATCGCAGCAAGGGGGAAATCCCTCTTGCTTTTACAGTCCTCTTTGTAGCAAACCTTTTGAGTTCTCAATCAGGCTGGATGTTACACAAAAAGTGAGGGGACACTGATGAAAAAACAACAATAGCATGTTGCCACTTTCTGATGTGTCATTGAATATTTAGTTAAAGTGTTACATGCGTTTAAGAGGTCTCAAAGGAGGGGGCATTGGTTTCTTGATCCTCTACTTGATAATGAATATGTTGGCAGGCATATAATTTGCTGAGCTATTCCTCATTTCTGTAATGGATGTATATATTTTGTTTTGGTGTGCTCAATAAACATCATTTCTGTCTTGGAAAAGACCTGTGTGAGTCATTGAGTAAATCTGCCAACATGCATTGATAACATAATTTAATCCTAATACATGAGACTCTTGGAATATGTGTTTAGTAAAGGCATGGTTTTACTCAGGAGGTGCATCAAATATGGTAGGAGATTTCACATTAACATGCTGCTGAATCCAATTCTTGCTAGATGAGTGCGCTTTGGAAGGAGATATGCCCAGAGGTGTTTGACTTTTAATCAATAGAGGCAGAGGCAAGATGCAAAAGATAATGGAAGGATGTTGCGAAATTACTGTAGACTTTGAGTCTGATACACACTTTCTGAATCTTTATGAGGCTGGAATGGAGTACCAATCTAGTAGCAATTCAGCTCCAAAATCTTGGGTAGGTTTCTGCACTTGGCCAATGGTTGTTTGTCCACCCATGGTGTTAACTTGTTTTGGAAGGTGCTGAGTTGTTCAGTTCACATTTGGGGGGAATATTTTTTGCTGTGAACATAGGGTCTACAGGAGAGCCATGGAACAGAATGGAAGCAAACTGGTCAAGCCAAGTCTGGCTCAGTTCTGAAGCAGGCTGAACTGTCTTTCTGGAGGGCAGCGATCCGTGCAAGAACTGTGAGATCCAGGAAGACTGACAAAGCTATAGTCCTACGGCAGAAGAATGGACCCCTTTGAGGAGGACATTCAACCATGTAGTTCTAATTCAACTATGTAGCTAGCAGGAGACAGTGTAAGGTTCCTGCTGGTGCAATAAGTTCCCCTGCCTTCCCTTTGCCCCCCCCCCCCCAATTGACTTGGAGGTGGGGAGAGTTAGGGAAACTCCCAGAACAGCACACAGGAAGGGAGGGGCAGCTCTTTCTGTCAGGCAAACAGAAATGCTTGTGCTGTGTTCTGCCAAAGATGGACAATGATGACCACTAAAGTCACTCTTTAACAGGCTTTATTTACAGGCTGAGTTAAATAAGGAACAAAGCAAGAGGAAACGGACATCTTACAGCTCCATCTATGGTTGGAGAATCACTTTCCCTTTTTGGGCAAACAATGGGTTGAATCCTTATAGGTCTGCAGTTGGTCAGATAGGTTTTCTAGAATAAGTGCTGATTCTAGCAAGCAGTGATTAACTCTTACGGATCTCTACAAAGCTGTGCTAGTGTAACTTCTTGCAAGTGCTAGGTCCAGGCCTGTGCACCTCTGAGGACATTCAAAGGGAAAATTTGCAGAGCATCACATGTAACTCTTTGTAATACAGTGGTCTTCGGCATATGTCCAAATACAAGCTGATGGAATGTTTGTGGGGTTGGCAACCTAAGGCCCATGGGCCACAAGTGGCCCACAGGGGTTGTTTAACTGGCCCATGAGCCGCCCCTGAACTGAGCCGCCCACGTGGTGAGTCCCTGTGCGCTGCACTAAAGCAGCGTGGCGCGGGGACATGCTTCCATGGCGCCGGAAATCGTGTCTACGCAGACGCCAAAAATCGCGTCTGCACCGACGCTGGAAATTGCACCTGTGCAGACACTGGAAATCATGGGCGTGGAGGGATCTCCGCTGGAGTGAACCGGCCCAGGCGAGGTAAACCTTGCCAACCCCTGCCCTAAAGCAGTGAAAAGCTTTCTGCAGGTTTCTACCCCCAATCTGTCATTCATCAATACAAAACTGTATTTTATTTTGACAATTTATATACCACTTAATCTGCCGTCACCTCTAAGTGGTGTACAGAAGACGTAGTACAAAGGGTTGGACCCCAGCCACATGCAGCACAATTTTAGTTGGGAAATAGGATGGAAAGAAATGAAGAGAGAGAGAGAAATAGGCAGTCATAAAGCAAAGGGTATCAGGGAGTGAAGGAATCAGAGAGACCACACCTCTGTGCTAAAGCTCATTTCCCATTTTTGCTTCTTGTGCTTAGCTCTTAAACTTCGTAGCAGGGTTTCTGCTTGGTCTGGCGGCCTTTTGGATCTCAGCTTCCTGCCCTTTTATTTGTAGTCGTATAAATATTATATTTTTAAGGGAAATGGGGAATGCAATCAGACAAGATGTAATAAACCATAATAAAACAAAACCCTACTTTCTGTGTGTAGTTTTTTGATGGAGGGGGGCACACTTGGTCATCCAGATCAATCCCAGGTTCATTCATTCAAGCAAATAGATCCTCCTATGGAGTCCGTATATCTGAAAACTTGCATATTTATTGTGCTTACAGAAGGTCACCACCTCAAGTTGCTAGCCAAGTCATGTATTTTGTCCTTTGTATGATGGTGGGTCAGGTGGACCTTTTTAAGTCATGAGTTAATTCTCCATGAGTTGGTAGAAAAGGATCCCCTGCCCCCCCCCCAGATTACTCGTAATTGTCTGATCTCTGTCGCTGTGCATACTGGCATGCAGTTCTGGTCTATATCAGAAGTTGTCATTACAGAATTTCGTGGTGGTGGCGGAGAATGGTGAAGGATTGTTGGGGAGAGTTGTAAAGATGTGCAAAGAAGAAACAGAAGACTGAAGTTGCAGGATTTTGGCAACTTTGGACTTTCGACCTGCTGAGAACTTGAAGCAAAGACTGAAAACCCTCTCAAGGCTCAGAGAGAGAACCCTTCTTGAAGCAACTGTATCGAGTGTGTGCATTTGTGCTTACTAATTAAAACAACCTCCGGTAGAGTTTGTCTGCTGCAGGAATTTTAATCGTTTTGCTGAACTTCTGACTGGGCAGTAAGCCAACTGATTATTGGGCACAAACTTCCAAAAGCCCTTTCCTTCCATTATTGTGTTAGATAGTGCCCTTAGCCAGTTATACTATCCCTCTGACAAGTTCCAAAGGACAGGGATACAGTTTGATAAGACACTGACATATTCCGATTTCAAATGAGTTACCAAGATCATGTTTGCGTGGCTGATTACGTGTCAAAAATCAGCCAAATAATATGGCATAATATTGCATGTACAGCATTCCAACACCACCACATGCCAGTGCTGGTTGCTGTGTTTGGGGTTTGACATATGCCTACTATTGCCTTAGGATATTGTTCAGAACCCATCAGTTTACTCAAAGGGCAGGGGTTTCTGAGGTGTGTGTCAGGGTCAAACAAAGCAGTTAGCAGGTGTTTTAGTGGTATATACAGCCATTCTGCAGCTGGTGGAAGAGAGCATGCCTCTTTTCATCTGGGAAAGTGGAGACACCCCATCATTTGCATCAATCACAGTTTAATTTCAATTGTTAATGGGAAATAGGAACCCCATAAAAAGGAGGGGAGAGAGTACCCAGCCTCTTTTTGATTGTTTTCCTCTTTGTGGCTTCTATGCTGATCTAACTTTTTTTAAATAAAAAAACCCCCAGAAAACCTTGTTATCACGTCATTCACTTGTTGGAACAAGGGAGTTTCTGTCAAATGACATCATTGCTTCCATACTGAAAAAAGTACCAGAGCTCTGAAATGCTTATGTACCAAGTTTAGGTTGGCTAAGAATAAAACACAAGAAGACACCTTCCTAGGGAAATGGTCTCCCTTTGTTTCATACATGAACACTAACAGAGATTGCAGATTTGGAGGATAAGGGCTGTTTTTTCCTTCTCTTTAGAGATTTCCACACCTGATGACAACAGGAACAGACTGCAGTAGAATTTGGTATGGTTGACTTTATGTACTGCTGCATGAAGGAGAGACGTGGAAATTGTAACCCAAGTTTTGAATATTGTTTATTGAGTTTGTACTTCCTTTGAAGAAGTTCATTCAAAATTATTATTTTTTATTTAAAAACAACAGGGCTGTGCTTCCCTGTACCCCCCCCCAAAACCCTGCTGTGCTTCTATCCACATATCTATTCAATGGAGATGCCTTTCTCGCTGTCCCCAGGCAAGAAAGACAGGCATTCCTGGTTGATTGATGCGCAAAAGCCCCACCCCAAATTCTGCCTCTTCCCCACAGCTCCCTTTTGCCCCATGCTTGGCTCCACCCACTTAAACGCTTCTCACCTGCCTGCTGTTGCTTTCTGCAAGAACTCTAGCATTCTTATGAGAGGCGCTTGTCTACATTATGCAAGAGAAACTCCCTTCGCTCCCAGCATCGTCAAGAATTGAGACTGTGACTGTTAGTGCAAAGCTAATGCCCTATGGCACTGCCCACCCCTTTTCCTATTTTTGCTACTTGTGATATTGTTGTTTTCTTCTTCTGACCCTCCTGTATTCTTTTTGTAGGTGTGACACAGGCTGGGAAGAGGAATACTGCAAACAATGTGTGAGGATGCCAGACTGTAGCCATGGGACTTGCTGCTAACCCTGGCAATTCAGTTGCCGAAGTGGCTGGCCAAGCAGGTTCTATGACCAAGGTAGGCCACACCACTTGGGACAGGGTGGGAACATCTTGAATAAAGTCAGGACAGGGAAAGGACACAGTGTTATATGCTCAGCTGCCTTATACTGCCCACATGGCCTTGTAGCAAGCTCTCCAGCATTCACACAGGATTCTTCCTTGACGCCGATATGTGTCAGAGCGATCCAACTGCAGCCCTTGGCAGTCCTGGACAGAGAATGTTCTGTCACCTGTTCTCAGTTCGTAAGCGGGACTCTCAGCCGTGTGTGGAGTGCATCTTTCGTTAAGCTGCAGATATCAGGAAAGGGTCCCACATTGCAGAGGGGAACATTCCCAGTCGTGAGGTACCAATTGTCCAGTGTTTGTGTCTCTGCAGGGAGGTCACTGCTGCCCACTGTGCAGAAGATGCTGAAACAGGGAGTCTGGCTTCTGGCTGAGAACAGCAGGGGAATCAAGCTCTGCCACCTTCCCAGCATGCATCACCAGCACTCGGTCTGAGTCCAGGATAGTGTTCAACCTGAAATAAACACAGCAGCAGGGTAAGCTCTTATTTTGGAAAGAGCAGAGAACTGAAAAGTGCTGCCCTCTCTTTTATCACAGTACCTCAAAGTGGGTAAAAGAGTACTCCCTTTCAGCTACTGCTGTAAATCTATAGGCACCTAACAACTGTTAGGTGGCCATCCAGCCTCTTCCTATGAGGGATGCTGTAGAAGTGATAT